GGATCAGTAGGGTGCTCCGCACCTACTGATCCAGATCGTTTTTTGACGGTCCATCCCGTTGTTGCGTCTTTGCACCAACAGCGGACCCTCGTCCCTGCCCCTTTCTCACGGGTGGACGGTCACTACGCCCAGTGTCGCGAGACACTGGACGAGGGGCACTACACTCGAAAGCGTAGTGTCCTGTCTTTTGACATCTGTTGCATCTCTGCAACTTCTTGTAGTCTGTAGAGCGAGCCTTCTCGCTCTCTACATAACAGAGTTCCATCGGCTCTGGACCTCCGCTGTCATATCGTCTCGGTTGACGATATAATGTCGAGCTGGCGCGAGCCTGTCTCAGACTGAAGTCTTCCTGCTCCGCAATGGAAATGGCTTGTTCTAGTGAATCTAGTTCAAGCCGGAACAGGTGAGTCTTGACGGGACCATCCGCAAGACCCTGCATGAACACCGAAACCAACGTGTGTTCATCCACCGGATTGGAACTTATACAACTCGTAAGATGTCGTAAATGTTGCGCGTAAGCGTGCGCATCACGCTTACCCTGCTTGAGCTTCAAGAGTTCGGTTCGAGCTCTGAACTCAGCTCTAGGCGGTTCAAACGTTTGTCTGAGCCGCGAATTGAAGACTTCCAGCGACCCAAACGCATATGGGTCGTGCAACTTGAGCCCCAGTGCCCAAGTCTTGGCACGTCCTGCCCGATTTGACTGGGCAAATGCAACTTGCATTTCCCCATCGTCGATGCGACGCGCCCTTATGGAGTCATCCAATTCGACGAACCATCTCAAGAGGGAGTCCTCTTCGATTCCCCTATACTTGGAGATGTCAATCTTCAAGGTTTCGGGTCGACGCGAGTGCATCGACCCACCAGCAGCAGCCTGCTGCTGTCTCAACAGTTCAAACTGTTGAGCACCCTGTTCTCTCAACAACTCTGCTTGTTGAGAACCTTGTTGGTGAAGCAAGGCTACTTTCTCGCGTTCAGCGTCAAGTTCATTTTGAATGAACTTGGCGATAGTAGCATGTTGGGCATCTCTATTGAGAGCCTCTAGCATGACGCTAACAGCATGGATGCCCATGGTTGAACCCATTCGTTCACCCGCATCCCATTCGACATCGCTCAAATGGGAGTAGCCGTCACGCGTAGCGTGAAAGCTTTGGTCATCTTCATCATCCAACATATTCATGTTGGATGTGAACGCGGTCCTTGGACGGACTACGAAGTGCTACCAGGTGTAACGGGGCACCCTGAAGCTTGTACTGGTGACAGTACAAGCTACTTATTCTGATGACAGAATAAGGCGGTGCCTCGGAATTTCACGTACACTCGTACGCGCAGAGGAAGACGGTAAGAAGAAGCGAGTACTTGGTTAAAGTAAAAAGTAGAACTGTATTTATCATAGTTAATGTCTGTAATAAACCCCCTGTTTATCCTCATCTAACTATGTCTAAATCCAAATGTGTAAATCAATTATCTACTCACCACTCATTGCTGCGTCTGTCTTGGCGCGTCTTCGTTGGTTGATATAATGGCCTATATCAACCAATTAGGAACTACTCGTAAGTGCTACAGAATATTTGTCCTTATGACAATATTCTGAGAATATAACTTTTATAATTATATTCTATTAACAATTTCTTATAAATTGTTATGAACGATTCACCCCGTTACACACTCCGTCGTATTTGCTCCTGCGCTGTGTCCACACAGTACAACAGATGCATCTTCCACGTGTCTAGCACCATGATCCTTGACACCTTACTCACGACAAGTGGGAAGCGTCTACTACACAGCATTATAAGTCCCAGCAGCGGCGACAACACTTTTGCCAGCGAATCGTTGGCTTCTGCACAGGCCCCATTAGGCAGCTGCCATCTTACCACTGCTGCGTCCTCCGTTGCAGAAATCAGCATACTTTGTCCCCATTCATCTGCCCACAGACCATGCCCACAATAGGATGTCTCCTACTTTCAGCGTGTGGAAACACGAGCACATTAACTTGTGCAACAGTGTTGTGCTCGAACCTCCAGTAAATAATAGTGCCATCGACCGTCCCTGCAACGACACACAGATGATCGCGAGCATCATCCTACTTTTCCACACCAGCGAATAGTTTTCTACTTTCTTTACTGGCCAAGAACGACGAGTTCTGAATCGGTTAAGTCACTGGCAGGTAGAAGATGGGCAAAGAAAATACTTCGACTTGCGGTGGCTCATTCCAACGCACGATTGGAACCACCACGTCTTTTTGCTTCACCTGTGCTGTGTACGGACGTTTTTAGAGTCCCTAAACGTCTTCCAGGCTGCCGGTTTCCGTACCATATCAATGTCTCTAGTCCTAGCTCGCAATATACTAATTCGTGACGTCAAATTAGAGCGTTAGAATATAAAAAGTACCAGAGTCAATCGCCAAGACGCTCACGAACCAGATGAAGTGCACACAATGCAGCAAAAGTGAGTAGAAGCGACGCTAGTAGCGACAACGCGGCTGTCCGTACGCAAGAGTTGAAGCGATGCAAGTCGCTCGTTGCAAATGAAATATTTTACTGGATATTTTTGAAACAAATCTTAAAATGAATAGGGATCGTATATATAAGATTTTGAAGGAAGGGTGCGAATCTAAGGAAAGTGAATTTAGCAATTCCCTAAAATTATAGTAGACCGGATTCGGATGACGTGAGGGGGGCGGGTGAGGCCAAACGCACCGGATAGGAACATTTTGAGCGTCCTCGAAACGATCACAGAGCCAAACCAATCGTCACGGTGGATTCTGTCAGATATGATTTCTTGTCGACAGGAACGCTTAGTTGCTGGGAAGTCTCTGCTATATTCGCGGCGGCAATGCTACCATGAGGCCTCCATGCCTTGTCACTATGCATGTGTCGACTTTTAACATTCGCCAAAGGGAGTACAAAAATTGAAATCGCATCATCCATTAGCATTTATATGTATGCTACACATGACACGTGCATCACGATTTCTACATCGCGACCCCAGAGGGTTATCGATTCGTACGATTACCAGCCACGGTGCGCCCTAGGTTTACTAGCGCTTGATTCGTACCGAGTACTTTCTAAAGATTTTGCTTCAAATGAAACGTCATGGTTACAGGGCGGCTATAACATCTCTTCTGTAAATCGGATGACTTTGCACTGATCTTCAGCTGCAATACGACGATTTGTGTGCGTGCACAAACGGACACGTCAACGACATGCAGGAATGACAACTTGTTGCGTTGTCTCTATGACCACTAAGAAGCACGACGATGTGCGAAGGTGGTGGATGAGTTTCGTGGTGGATAAGTATAGTGGTAGTGGTTGGATGACGTTTGTGGCGGGTGGAGAACGGGTCCCTGATAATCAGAAAAACGATTTTTACATTTATAAACAGCTACCTCTCGCTACTGCTATCTAGATTAGAAATACAAAACGGATAGACGAAATGGCATGATTGCTGTCCTACCCAGTCCTTTAGCTCGTGCATAAATACAGTCTACATCTGTCAGAAGGCATTGGTTCTCGAAGTTGTCGAAGCAAGGCATCATTGTCTGTGTTCTAGTTTACTGAGAGTAAATGCTGCAGGTCGTTTCTGTGTTTGACCTTAGAGACGCGAATTACGGATCATAGTCGCTACTTGACTTATACATGCTCCCACTGCTGCTTGCTTATTGAAATCGAACGAAGGCGGATCGCTCTATTTAGCGCTCATTCCGACAAAAATTTCATGACGGATCCGACCACTCGTCACCAAGGCTTTCTCCTTGGACTATTGTACTGGCTTTGAGCGATCAGCAAATGCTTGCGGCAAAGTGCAGAAAAAGCCCGTCTATCCTTCTATGATGATTTGCTACACGACTTTACATACTCAGATTCGCTGCCATTTCCGACGATAGCTGCAGGGGTGGAACCTCTTGCGTCGAAACACCAATCACAAGCAAATTTGTAATGATCGTTAGACGGCAATGGGAAGCAGAAAGCGCACTCAGTCGCAGGGTACTCGCATTAGTCTATCGCCTAAAGCTTATTGAATGAACAATTCGGGGGCGATGGATCTAGTGCGACCACCGCATCAGCATGTATAGGCGACGTCAGTACTGCGCTGAATCCTCTCAGTTCTTTTGCGACAACGAATCTGAGCTGGCATTTCATGCGGCAGATTCAGCGTCTTGTGTAGTAGAGGGGACGAAAGTGGTGGCCCTATCCACCGGCCACAAGCCAGCTGTTTGATGTAAAACATGTGCCTGATCTTGCATGCTTCGAGAGTCAGATGCACTTCAGGATTCGATTACTCACAGCTGAGTACTAGCAGGAATCTTATAAATTTAATCTCATTTGAATAGAGTTCGGTGGGTAGAGGCAGCCAGTCGCGTCTGGATAAAAATGAACGTTCAAGTTCATGTAACCGTGACAAGTGTCAGCATCAAAGCGTAAGGTATCAACAACGCCCTACTGCAAAAATTGAGCACTGCATTTGTGTCTCATAGAATCATGCAAGCCGGTACGACTCCTCGATGTCTTGTGTTAGCTCAGACTCTGTATCTTCCGCAGCGGCGGATCTTTAAGATTCAGTCGAGCGGTAACTGCCAAGGTTACCATGTGCCCCTTCATGGGGCAGTCACATGAGATATGCTCGATCGCAGCCCCTGCCTTGTAGCTGCAACTTGCAGCAAGGGCTCCATCGATCAATCAAGCTCGCTCGATTACCATTACGAACGATCTTTTGTTACATGGGGCGTACAGCTTCGGCGCTTGTTGACGCCAATCTTTGCGCTGACCAAGCGAACGTGGCATTCAAGCGAGCTGTTGCAAACAAAACGAGGAAGTCGCACTCTTCGCGAAACGTGGCGTTTCTATGGCTTTGTGACAGGACGCAACCCACGTTTAGTGACCGATGCCGGCGCCGCAAAAGGGACGGTCTCGGCAATTTGATCGAGCGACAATTCATTCTCTTTTTTGCACCCTCCGTCGCCTGTCGCGGCTTGCGCCGCACGCGCTTTAGAAAATCCAGTAATGACCAAGGCCTTACTGGTACTAATGCTCATCTTCGAATTTGCGGCCTTCTGTGCTCCGGCATTGATTCCGTCCTACGCGTTTCGCGCAACGGAAGAAATAATCCGGAATGTCCAAGCGACAGCTGCCGTTACCAGTGCGAAAGGCATGGCAGCAAAACTAGAGTCGATGAAGGTATTGTATGCCAAGACTATCAACATCAAGAATGGCCAAACCAACCAGGGATCTCCAGATAGCGACGACGACGACAGCAGTGACTCCTCCGACAGCAGTGATTCCAAGTATACTGGCTTTGCATACGGTGATGTGTTCAGTGCACTCAGTACAACGCCGTCTAGAAACAAGAACTGGATCGGCAAGTTCCTCCGTACTACGTCCACCACAGCTTGTTATCGAAAAGCCCACATTGCCAAGACGTGTCCCTTGGGTTTCGATGCCAAGCTCGGAATGTGCTGGGCACAATGCCCACTCACATACCCGATTGAGTGTGGCATGGAATGCATCCGGCGAAACGACAATTGTGCACTCGAAGTCATCACCAAAGTTTCAGGTGTCGCCCAAGCAGTTTTTTCCGTCGCTACATACGACGCGTATGGGAAGTTCAAGCTGATGGCGAAGGGGATCCAGATTGCATACAAGTGCAGCAAAGAGATCATGGGATTGGTCAAGGCGTTGTCCAAGTACGTGCGCACTGTTCGCGTGTCAGCCCCGGATAAGACTTCGCAACAGCTACTGGCATTGATGTATCAGACGGACAACGTCGTCTTCGATATCCCAGTGACTATTGCTTCGTGCATGGGGATCAAAGTAGATGATATGACCAAATTCGCGGACAGAACGCTGAACACGATTATGCTAACACTGAAAGAAATAATCTCCCAAGGCGAAGCTATTACCACCAGTTGGTTAGCATTCACGACCTTCATGAAAAAGATTGGCCTCGGAGGGACACTTCTTGGGTTGGAGACGTCGGACATTACGTCTTTACGAAGGGCGTTGAAGTCCAATTCGACCTGTGGGTACGACATGAAGCGAATGCTGGACCGGACGTGGATCTTGGTAGCTGAGCTGCGTCGAAAGAACCCGACGATATCAGAGGATGACATGCGTGTTGCAATGAGCGATTCAAACCTTGCACTGTACGACATCCCCATTGTGACGAACAACTGCATGACGGAAATGATTGCCGAGTCCGACGAACCTGAAGCTTACGCCACCCGGGAAACACTGCGCAAGGGGTTCGGGGGTATCATGGAAGACCTGATCACGTCTGGCACAAGTAACAACGGTACTTTCCTGACAGCACGACAGTACGCGAACAGCATCGCTGACAAAGTAGGGTCGTTCTATGCTGTTTGGGAAAAGAAAAATATTGGTGGTGCGTTGTTCGAGTTCTTCCAGCCAGTTTGCGGCCCGACAGAGTTTGTCGGCGAGATTGACGACGGTACTGCTGAAGAAGCACTGGGGTTGAAAACTGTGGATGATGCTTTCGAGTACAGCATCGGTACCTGGACCAAAATTGGTGACGGTTCCGTCACTATCACGTTCCTGAGCACCGACAAGAAGGACGTCACCGTCAACATCAAATCCGGGGGTGATAAAATTGATGAAGTCAAGGTCGCGGCGGGTGCGACCGTCACATGGAAATCAACTGTGAAAGCTTTGGGTGGGAAAACCCTTTATTTAGACCGGTGGCGTCCTGGCTTTTTGGGTCTTCCTGGATTGGACGATGGCTCGTTGTTGCTGTGGGTGCCTCGATCGAGACAAGGGGGCAAGTTGCAGCTTCTCGCGAGGCTTAACGATAGCTAAGTTATGTGTTATAGTTGTTGTAGTGTAGAGTGGTGTGACATATGGTATCATAGAGACTAAAGTAAATACAAGGTATATTAATAGAGCGTCAAGACGATGTCAAAGCTCGGTGTTAGTTCCAGGTCAGTAGACTGACCACATGTGTCGACAATTGCCTTACTGGTTTGTCAGCGACTCGAGCACTAGCACGTAAAAGCTGCTTAACATCTAGAAGTAAGAAGAGCTCGGTGATTTAACGTGTTTTCGACAAAGGTCATGCGTGATCATGTTGACTCTTATCAACTCCGACAGTGCAGGACTGACATGGTAGCTCAATTGTTCGTTACGTCTGCACGTGCACGCGCTGTCATCGTTGGAAGTTGAGTCATTCGGAAAACCGATCGTAGCGATGTAAAGAATCCGTGACGGAGCCATTGCTGCCAAGGGGGACGTACAAGAATGACTCCTAACCCGTTCTTACTGTGATCTTGACAGTCAAGACGCCACAAGATGCAGTATCTCGTAAGTGCCAGAGGTAGGAAGGACATCTGACACATTGAACTCGAGCTGCAATCCAGCATTCACAACATGGCAGGTGACGTACTAAATTCTGGCCCAAGCCACGTTCGTGTGTGTGCTGCAAGTTTAGCAGCTCGTACATGTCTATGTGCATCAACACGTAAGCATCGTCCGGTGGTGAGATATCGAGCAGCTCGATTGTGTTTCACCTTATAAATATTTGCTTACAGTCCGTTTGCCACAGCGCCCAATTGAGCACTACGCATGAACGTCAGCTCTTATTCAGCATCGCAGTAAGTTGCAGACTACCGCCCTGAGTTGATCGGGGAATCCACAAAAGCATCGACCCGCCTGCAGTGGCGGGAATACCGAGAAATCCTGGACGCCAGCGATTCAAGTACAATGTCTTCCCTCCCAATGCAGCAACATTCGACTGCCACGTTACAGTCTCACCTGCTGGCACATCAACTTCGTCGATCTTGTCGCCTCCAGACTTGATATTGACCGTCACATCTTCGATGTCAACGCTCTTGAACGTAATAGTGATGGAACCGTCGCCGACCTTAGTCCACAAGCCGTCACTATTCCTAAAAACGTCTTGGACAATTGACATGCCTAGTGCCATAGTCACATCGCCATCATCGATCTCCCCGATGAACTCCGTCGGACTACACAACGGCTCGAAGTACTCGGAAATTATGGATGACAGATAAAATGGATCCCAAATCGACCAGAACGCGATAGCTCGATCGGCAATGAATACTGCGTACTCCGTAGCGGTGAGATAAGTACCGTTGCGACTCGTTCCCGACTCGGTTAAGTCTTCCACGATGACGCCGAACGTTCTGCGCAGAGTGTCACGTATGGCATATGCTTTAGCCTCATCGGCGTATGCAGTGCATCATCTGACTCTGCCAGCAGTTCGACCATGCAGTTATTCGTCGCGATAGGAATATCGTTCAGTACGAGATTTGACTCGCTCATGATCACGCGAATGTCGTCCTTTGATATTTCAGGATTCAGGCGACGCAGTTCTGCCACGGTCATCCACGTCCGATCGAGAAGACGCTTCATGTCGTAGCCACACGTTGAGCTGGACTTGAGCGCCGACTTGAGGGACGAGATGTCCGTCTTGTTCAGAGAGGCAATGGAGTCCCCGAGTGTGATGTTCTTCATCAAACCTGCAAAGGTGTCCCAGTTCGTGATAAGCTCAGTTCCGTAGTAGAGAACTTCACGCAGCAAATACTCGACCGTCGTGAGTAGACTGTCAGCAAACTTGACGCCATCGGACACTTTGCCTCCCCTGCAGTACGCGATAGTTACAGGGATATCGATGATGACGTTGTCGATCTGGTACATGACTTGTAGGATCTCTTCGTTTGTCGTTTCTGGAGCACTTACTCTCCAGTACCGTATGAACTTGACCAGCGACTTGGTGAGACTGATCATGTACTTGGTGCATCTGAAGGCATGCTTGAACCCCTTTGACCATTTCGCCATGTTGCCGTACACGCTCCACGACGAGAGCCCCATTGACGTCTGAACCACAGCTGCGACCTTGGAAAAGAGGGCAAGTGCACACTGGTCGTTCTGCCGAAGACATTCGAGTCCACACTCGACAGGGTATGAATACGGACACCGCATCCAGCACGTTCCAAGCTTGCTTTCGTACCCGTGGGGACACGTCTTTGCAATGTGAGCTCGGCGCCAGCACCCCGAGGAGGTCGACGAGTTAAGTGCATTTCCCACCCAGTTTGTATAAGTTGGTGTAATCGTGCTCGTCGCATTGAGCACGCTGCCGAGCTTGAATGCCGCCTTCATGGACTCCAACATCGTGGTGGATGCTGCAGATGTGGTACTCGAGTCTGATACTGGCACCTCGTCCGAGTCGGAACTGTCTTCGCTATTGTCGCCGACCAGATCTCGATCCTCCGTATCGGCGGCTGCTTCGGTGACCAAATGAGCTCGACCGAGGGAGCTTTCGGACCAGTCATTGTCGCTGGTTGGAACGCTCTTGTCGAAATGGCGTGCAGTCTGCGTCGAGTCACCCGTAGCCAAGTTACTCACAGTGATTAGACACGGCATTGCTATTGTCCATTCATGGAACGGATGGACTCGCAAGTGTGTTGATGTGTGACAAGTGGCGGTGTGAAAGATGAGGACAAGAAGTAGGACAATGTGAAGCATCTCGTGAGGAAGTCTAGACGTCGTAGATGTGACAATTTGAAGACTGAGGGTAGCCGAACGAAAGCGTTCAAGTGAATGGTGCTTCAGGAGACGGCCCAGCTCAGGCAGTAGATCAATCTCGTCTGTTTGTCTCCTTCATCTCGTGACTAAGAAGGAGAGCTCGGTACTTTTCCTAGTACAATTGCGCCAGTACTCGTGCGAAGTTTGCCATAGCCGTGACAATTCCCGCTGCTTCCTATCACAAGTATGATTTCATCGGAGGCACGGAGTGACGTGCACATGAGCGGGGCTTCTGGGGATACAATAACGCGTCTATCGATATAGATGTTGCAGGTCAGATGAACGGAGTGGTACTCTGTCGAGAAGGTTGCAATGCTAGACTCGGACGAATGGTGGCTGAGCTGAGCTGCTGACTACGATTTCATTGTCTTTTGTCCACAAGTGCTTAGTAGAGTGCCCAGCAGGAACATGTGGAGAGACGACAAGTGTTGGATATGGTGTGCTTTTTTCTAGGCGGTAAGCAGGTCATCAGGTTTTCAGCGTTTAGAGCGTTCCATCTCGTCAAAAGAATGGTGGCCGACCGTCGCCCTTCATCCGACGACTGTCCTCAGTCGCAAACGATTCCTGAGAGTGGAACTGCCGCTCGATGTTCACAGTAGCGTGGCCGGCGTGGTGTTACGGAATTATTAGATCTTTATGTTGGACAATTTACTACAGTCGTAGAGTGTTGCAGGTCGATGTCGCACCTCGCTATACCTCAAAGTCATCATGGTTGAATAGTATCAACGGTCACTGACAGCTGCACATCTTGGTTGGCTACGCTGCTATCTATAGCCAGAGAAGATAACCATGGTGTCAAAGTATTCAGATGTGACCAAATGGCTTACAGCTTGACGGCGGCGCTAAGTCGCACTGATTAAACGAAAGCAAAAGATTTGTGATCAATTATAGATGTTAGTTGGTAGCGTAGCGTAGCCAATCCGATATCGGAGCGATACTAAACCGTTAGAGGCACGTAACGGGACGGTCCCGACACATGCCATTAACCTTAAGATAGGGGAGCTATCTGTGACTGTGCGCAAGGTTGTATGCCGAGCTTTTCAGTCGTACCTATCGGATGTATCTGTGTGTGTCTGTGTTTGTGTCTGTAAATTACGCGGTTAGGTGTATCTTACACGTACTTGGTGAAAACTAGCCTGTCCCCCCTCATAGGTATATAAGCATATTTAAGTCACGCTTTGGCTGGGTCACTATTGTGACGCACGCGCGTGATTGTCTTAAAATCGATCAAAGGCGAATATGATCACATAAGCAAATGCTGGACGCTTTTAAGCAAAGGCCAATCGTGTTGCCCAGGTATACTGTACTGGGTCAATACAGACATTAACAGCATCATAATCATTCTTCAGTGACTGCTGTTGTATGGTGTTTTACAGCTTAATTCAGATCTCCGAACTGAATTACTTATATCAAAGGGCGAGCTCCAGAGCTTGCTCACCTATCTTATTGAAGACTTCTTGACAGACATCATGCCTGCTCCATCCAATGCGCAGTGGCATGAAATGAGGATTACGTCCAGATTTTTTTGCGAGCATGGAAGGTGAAGCTATTAGCGACTGTGCGCAAGATGAATGCCGAGCTTTTTAGATCGTACTTTGTGTTTGCATACGACGCTAGGTGTACCTAGCATATCATGCTAAGTGCGATTAGTCTACCTCCTGTGTTCGCAAATGCGCCAGGTGAACCTTATACGTCGAACTAAGTGCGATGTAGTCCGTCACCTTTTCTTCCCGCAAGTTATAAATGGTGTACCTTACACATTGTACCATGTGCGATTTCGTCTGTCGCCTCCTCTGCTTTTTGTCTGCAAAATAAAATGCTTAGGTGAACCCTCCACGTCGTACCAAGTGCGATATGGCATTTATCCCCTCTTCATTGTTAATACACATTTTCTGGAGGGTGAAGCTGTTCAAGACTGAGCTCAAGGTCTGTGAATATACAGAACTTAATTCAGTTCTATGGACTGAATTGCTTATATCAAAGGGTGATCCCCAGAGCTTGCTCCTCTATCATATTTCTTCTTAATACCGCAACGATGACGTTCCCTTAGTGTTCCCGCCCGGTGTAATATCGATGAGTTTTATATATCGCGATTATCTTCACATTGCCATCCAAGCTAGTGCCAATATTTATGTTACGGGCTCATCCGTTTCCAGGATTATTTAGCGCGCTATGAATCAGTTGCTGGTAGGACTTATTTTGTTGTAACAGAACTGTGATTCGACGTCGACGTCGTTAACGGACACTATCAGGGGAGACATTGAATACACGACCATTTTTGCCTGAACACACTAGCATTTTCGGCTTTTTTTACATTGTCCATCCCAAACTATGCCGTCTATCCATCGGGCCTACTTTTCATATTGCCAACAGGGGTTACGCGACGGGCCATGGTTTTCGACCATTTCTTCTTCTTCAACAACCCCTTATCATTCTCACTGTGATGTTGAGCTCTTTCATCTTCCTCCTCTGGCATGGCAGCTTATACTGTTGTTCATGATGCTATTTCTGATGTTCCGCTATGGAGCTGCGATGAAGTTCTACTAGCAAGGCACCTCGATAGTCAGAAGGAAGCCGTTGACACCGCCAAGAAGTACGTCATTAGCCAAGGCTTCGTCGTCCGCATCCTATGCAGCAATTTGTGTGGAAACATGTGCGTTTCTCTCTGATGCATCGAGAGAAATACGGGGATTCTAGACTCAGGCAATATCAGGACCGGCCCATGACCTTGCAAGACCGTAACACTACAAAGGTTGCGTTGCTTCTGTCCCCGAGTCAGGCTTGAAATGCACGCACCCAGCGAAAGTGTAAGTCGACGTTTTCATTGCACAAAGGCGGTAGTGGCCATCATCTTAGTCTTACAAAATGCCACGCTACCGTTGGAGAAGTACACAACGCGATATCGATTCAAAGGTCGTCCAGGTGCATCTGGCTGAAGCTGCTTTACGGGGACGCACGAATGTGCAAGCTTGACGCCTTCAAGTTAAATATGAGCAAGTAAGGTTACTTTTTGCTTGTTTGCATGGAATTCTTGCCAAGAGCGGGGATAGGACATGCGAGTAGCTTCCAACCTTTTGGATAATGCTGTCCACCACTTTTCTTTGGGGCTTGTACCTGTCTGCGAAATGTTCGTGTATTCAGCGTCTCCCCACTATCAGTTGCGTTCCTAATCAGCAGCACATGTGACAACTCGGTCTGATCCGGAACCGAGCGTGCAGCGTCTGCGACGTTTTTGTTTAAGAGGAGGATGACGCTGACTCAAGACCAGATCTAGATTGCGTGATCGCTTCAAGATCAACACCACGTCGCGTGCTGGACATGCCACGTCTTCCTAGTTGTTTCGACGTGTTCTTGCTAGCATTTGATAGCTGTACACTTCGGGTTGGGGACAGCCGCCGACTTGTGATAGAGACGAACTCGAAAACGAGTAGGACCGAAACATTGTTTAGTTATCCGATGGAATATTGCAATACACTCATTCGTGTTTCACCCCGACCAGTGACACCCGACGACAGTATCAGCTCGACGTCTTGCTGACAACGTAAATACCTCTCGTCCGATCTGCCCGCCAAGTCTGGTCGCATTCACGTCTGACATTGGTGGGATCACTTGGCGACACATGATTCGTCGTTGAGTTGGAAGTGATGTCAAACGCTCAGACGTATCGCCAGTCCGTCCTATTGTGATGCAAAAAACATGCTACCTGCAGTTACCACAAGACCAAACTAAGCGCTGCTGGGCATGCAGCAAGTTGCAGACTATCGCCTCGGGTCGATCGGGGAATCTACAAAAGTATCGGCCCGCCTGCAGTGCCGGGAATACCAAGAAATCCTGGACGCCAGCGATTCAAGTACAATGTCTTCCCTCCTAATGCAGTAACCTTCGACTGCCACGTCACAGTCTCACCTGCTAGTTAACGACGATGAAGCCGTCACCGACCTTAGTCCACAAGCCGTCACTATTCCTGAAAACGTCTTGGACAATTGACGTGCCATAGTCACATCGCCATCATCGATCTCCCCGATGAACTCCGTGGGACTACACAACGGCTCAAAGTACTCGGAAATTATGGATGACAGATAAAATGGATCCCAAATCGACCAGAACGCGATAGCTCGATCGGCAATGATATATACTGCGTACTCCGTAGCAGTGAGATAAGCGCCGTTGCGACTCGTTCCCGACTCGGTTAAGTCTTCCACGCCAAACGTTCTGCGCAGAGTGTCACGTATGGCATATGCTTTAGCCTCATCAGCGTATGCAGGCGCCTCATCTGATTCTACGAGCACCTGAGCTGGACTCGACCGCAAATGTGAGATACGTGATGTTCGTCTTGTTTAAAGAGGCAATCAATTCCCCGAGCGTAATGCTCTTTATAAAACATGCAAAGGTTTACCTGCGAAAAGCGAGTCCATCATAGCTAGCAATGAATTCGCTCACCGCAGATTTTGCCGTCATGCGAAACAAGGCAGCAAACTTGACGTTGGGGTCGAATGCTTTATCGTTAATTCAGTACGACGCGATACTTGCAGCTGCCATGATGAGTCCGCTTCGAACTGGATTTGTGTGGTACACACACACAGGTCGTCCACCCCAAGCTATGTGGTGCACACATCGCTCGAGTCTTCGTGTGGTGCACATAGTTTGACCATCGGACCGACTGGCGCGACAAAAAGCATGGTGCTGAGTGCTCTCCGCGGACGCGCCGCCGCTGTGAGGCTCCTGGTCACCCGCAGCGCGCGACAATGTGCTATGCAACGTGCTGCCTTTGCTACCCAAACGAGTGGTGGGTCTTGATCAGCTGGTTGCTTTGTATGGGCACGTTACCAATGTCTAAGCTGTCTCTTGTGGTGTCCAATATACAATTTAGTGTACACGTGGGGTACCGGTACATTGGGCCAATTAGGACACGGTCCAGTCGTTAAAAGCGGTATCCGCAACGCATACGAGGAGCTCTCGCCCAAGTTATTGGAGGCCTTCGAAGGCAAAGGCATCACTCGCTTGGACTTTGGTGCCAGTCATAGCGCTGCCAGTACGATTTCAGCTTTTGAATCGGTATTCTCGTGTGCGTAAACTAACTTGTGGCTTTGTTGCTGTTGGTTTGTTGATTGGGATTTGTTTCCGCCACGGTAGTTGACGAGAGCGGCAAGCTGTTTATGTGGGGCTCAAACGAGTATGGTAAGTTGGGGCTAGGAGAAAGCAGCGAGATGGAGGTGCTGCCACGTGAAGTGGAGGCACTGCAAGGCATTGAGATCGTGGACGTGTCCTGTGGAGATTACTTTACGGCTGCGGTAGACGCAGAGGGCAAAATGTACTCGTGGGGTTGGGGAGGATCGACAATGAAGGGCGCTGGTGGGCTAGGCCACGCTGGCGGTAAGGATGAGCCTACGCCACGTCTACTGACGACGTTGGTCGAACAGGGGGTTCCCGTTTCCACAGTGAAGTGTGGCGAGTTTCATACCGTGGCGCTTACCAAGGACGGTGAGATCTGGGCGTGGGGCAATGGCGAGTACGGACGTCTGGGTAATGGCGAGTCTGACACATGCGAGGTGCCCGAGCCGATCGAGTTTTTTTCGAATGACGTAGTCGTGTCTATTGCCGCTGGACGTGACTTCTCGTTTGCGTTGACGGACAAGGGCGAGCTGTACAGTTGGGGTGGCAACAGTCGTACGTCCTTGACGTTATGGTTTTTTATTCTTGTTGGCATTGTGCTAATGGTGTTGTTGCGATGCTGTTGTCGTAGATAACCAGCTTGGCATTGGCGGTGGGTTAGCAATGGATGTATACAACATCGAGTCGATACCGGTACTGGTAGAAGCGTTCAACGGGCTGTCTGTCAAGCAAATTGCTGCTGGCTATGACCACGCCGCCGCGGTGACAGAGGATGGCCGGTTGTACATGTGGGGTGCCAAGATCTGGATCGAGCCGCACGAGATGACGGCTGTGAACGAGCATAAGGTTGTCCAAGTGGCTTGCGGACGACAGTACACTGCAGCTCTGACGGATGACGGTAAAGTCTTTACATTTGGCAAGGGTAGCTCCAACTGCCTGGGTCACGGCGAACGTAAGAACCAGCTGCAGCCTTTGCAAATCGAGGCTCTAGCTAACATCAACGTTACCTCGTACGTATTTGGCACGTAGCAATGTTAGGGCTGTTGCTGTTGCTAACCTATGTGCGTATTTGATGTAGGGTATCGTGCGGCGAATTCCATATGGGCGCTATTGCAACACCTCACGCCGAGGCTGTGGACATCGACTTTTCCTTCCGGGAGTAGATAGCATGACTTGGGAGCTTACCGATCGCGTGTATGTAAGCAAAATTGGATCGAACTGCCCACATTTAGCAGAACACATGTCAGTGAATTGTTACCCAGCGTTGTACAGGCCAGCAACGATGAGTCGTCGTCCCTGATCTCCGGCTACTGTGCGATGAAGATGCTGCATTGATAAATCGCTTGGTCGAACTGTGCATGGCAATCACCCGGTATGTGGTGCTATTCTTATGGCATTATTGTGTTCACCCTTTTGCAAGACCGATGCCACGGAACAATGGAGCCAAAGCGGAGACGGTCGGGATCGAGAATAATGTCATGAACAAGGTGTTGACGCATTGCCGAGACCGTAAGCCCAAGCGGTTGCACAACATCACGCTAAAGAAGTGAGACAGGGAAGGAATAGCGATAATGTACAGGGCAGAGAGATGAAGGTACGTAGTCCAAAGAGGAATCTATTTCGTTTACACCTACGCGTCTGCAGCCTGGCACAGTTTAATCACTTGCTACTATCGCGCTTACGTTTGAGATTGTTGCGGCTTTGCATGACGGCGGAACCGGTGCCTTCAGCTGATACGACGTCGGTGACCACGTAAGGTGCTTGAACAGGATCGTGTGCGGACAACATGATGCTGTCGAGAGACATACTGCTCTGCACGAGCAAATTGACGCGCTTCAACACGGAGAGAGGCAGCGGACTCAGCATATACAATTGGCGCTTCTTGGCTTCCAGCGCACGGATGATTCCCACGCCTAGACAGGGAGCGTGCACGGGCTGGAGAACGATGCGCGGTGGGCCTTGATGCCTTTCGGACTCATCTTGATCGGGTGGTTTGTATTCGGGATTAATGCAGAGACCCACGACACAAGCGTTGAGTGAGAACAAGAGCTGGCTCGGTGGCACAGAGGGACCAGCAAACGAGATATCAACCTGGTCGAATGATACGGCGAAAGGCGTGAGTTGAGCATACGCGCGATAGATGTCGCTGTCTAATCGATTCTTTTCGGATAGCACGTGCAGGTTCTGCAGCGAAGATCGTGGAAGCTTGCACCGGCTTCGAGCCAGGAAGTACGAGTGAATTCGATAAACGCGCAGTTCCTTGGAGCTACGAGGAGGTTGCGTCACGCCGACAGGATCCCAAGGTGGCACAGCATGAATGCGCCACTTGCCTTCTGTGGAGACGTCAAACTGTTTGTTTTTAGACGCGGCCAGCAGCTGCACCACGTGATCAGGGTTCGTGTCTTGAATGACACTGCACAGCAGGTCATGGCCCATACTTTTGATCCAACCATCCGTATTAATCACTAACGGTGCATATGCACGCTGTCGTGTCTGAGGTCTCACGTTGTTGCTGCTTGTATCTCTTTGGTTACCCCACTTGGCATCGTACAAGCGCAGCAGACTCTTGATTGCCTTCATGTAGTACAACGGATCGTTCCCTGGATTGGTGTTTCCACAGAAGAATGACCGAATCGGATTCTTCATGTGCGAGAACCCTGGACCTAGCAGAGGTGACGTCAAGGCGTGAAGTGCTACAAGGCCAGACGGTGTGAGTTCACTCTGGCCTAGGTCTGTGTCCAGGTAGACCACCGTCCCAAACTGTGAGAGTAACCTGTTGACCAGATACCTGCAAAAAGTGGACTTCCCCACACCCTTGCCGCCACACACGACGATTTTCTGCGGCGTCGGGTCTTCTCCTGCTACCAGACTAGCGTGCAGTCGATTTACAGTTGCCTGCCAGGCTTCTGTGATCTGCAGGGTCTTGAACGAGTCCACCACCACGAGCTCTGCCAATACGCGCTCTGGTGACTTCCAATCGTGATGCATTGGATCTATAGCAGGAGGTGCTGCACTTGTCGAGTCAAAGTGTGCAGTAAGGTCGTCCAACAAGTTCTGGTTGTGTTTCGAGACAATCATCTTGAAACCAGGTAATATCGCTGGTGGCTTTTCGGGTCTGGAATTCTCATAAAAACTTGTAATATTCCCGTACGTGACAGGGATAGCGCGAAACACCAGCACCACAGGAAAGTCGTTTACGAGCTGCATGGCCAGTCGATCGATCGCAATCTCTTCGTCCTCATTCACAGCTTCTGGTGGCAAAGTGGGCTCCATGGCTTGCAAGAGACTGGCATTTGTTGGCCCAAAAGGAGCTTGAGTTTCTGCATTGCCTGGTCGACCTTCCATTACCAGTAAGTTGTTCCACTTGGGCGAGTGCAGCGAGAAATAGACACCCAGAGGTGGTCGAAAGCCCAAGACCTCGATGTTGCCCTGGAAAACACGAAAAAGCGTCATACCAGCGCAATTCACCGACGCAGTCGACTGCATACCAAAGGCAATCACATTGCCAGAACGCCCACAGAGTGCGCGATACTGAGGTGACGTGCCAGCCATCGTGGCGATCAACGAATGATTGGCCACCAGTGATTTGCGGGTTTTCACACGTCGCATGTTCCGACCATGAGGCATGATTCTCACACGTCACACATTGCAGTCAACCTGTCAACTGTTCGTTCGACAGTGACGAAACATGCATTGGACCAAGTGACCTCGAGACTATACTCGCTGCTGCTGGAAACAGCTTGATAAAGCCTACTACGAAACGGTTGCGTCGTCGTCCGTTTTAGTGGAGAAAACTGTCTGTCACCGTCAGCTTATACTTGAATTCAGGTGCAGAGCAAGATCAACAGCGGTCTCGTTAGGCGAGGAGAAGCTCGAGCGAGATAGATCCTCGTGACTCGTTCCAACTTTCATGACCTTATTCCGCAGCAAATCATGAGTTTGGGAGGAGACGAGTGCTTGCTCCTTCAACTGTTTCAGCGCATCCAGTTCTCTTGTGCTGCACAAGTGACATCCAGTTGGGAATCTGCCTTGAAGTAATGTACGAATGTAGGCGCGTTGCAAGACAAGGAGCAGGTCATCAAGGTGTTCAGAGACTGCTGAGCTGCTGCATAAGCTGAGGACATAGTTCCTTTGTCTGGTTTTATCTCGCGACCTCTCTACGTACTTATCTACATCGTTCCAACGAGTCGCTCCACTTCGCCACGTCCTGACTTGCCGACTACTTGCCAGCATCAGCTCTGCAACATTACAGCTGTCAAGACATCTTGCTAGTTTTTCATGACCTTTCGTTTTGTACTGCAATTCACATACGTACGTGATTCCGATAATGGACAGGTTGCGATGCCCAGCCCACCAAAAGCTTGATATAAAAAGCACCAAGTCCATCGTTAGCCCCCTCTTTTTTTCCGGCACCTGTCGTTTAGGACAAATCGAGTCGATCACGTTAGACAAATCCAGTGGTCGTCTCCTCTTTTTATTTTACCAGTAACTTACTGCATTTGTGACTACCAACTGTGAAAAGCTCCAAAGCGCTCGCACATGTTCCGTCGCTGCCTCAGTAGCGCTCCCTCGGCTGCTGCTGCTGCGCCTCGACTGGTCCAGCAGCGCGTCCTGGGCAAGCTCTCACTGCTGCCGAAGACCCCGTTGTCTCCTCTCAATACCCACGTCTTGTTTGTGACGCGCTCGTCAGCGTCAGAGCTGCCGCACTCGCTGCCCTTTCCCGTCTCCGCCGCAGCTCTGCGTGACTTCCACGCTCGGCCACGCGAGCACTTGTGTGTGTACCCAAATGTGGACCACACCAGATTCAAAGACCAGCGCGTCCTGCTCATGGGACTTGGAGACGCTACAAAAGTGACGCCGACTGTCCTGCGGGACGCGACTCACGGCGCTTTGCGTGTGTTGAAGCAGAAGCGAGTTAAGGACGCGGTGGTGCACGTGCCCGAGCTTGGAGACTGTGAGCTGGAGACCGCTCGGGTCGTGGAGCTCGTGTCGCAAGCGCTGATGCTGTCCAATTACCAGTTTGATCAGTACTTGACGGTGTTCGGGGCCGAGGACGGAGATGGAGACAGGAAGCTGCAGTTGCCACTGGAAGAAATGTACGTCGATGCTTCGGTCGAGTTTCAAAAGGTGAGAGAGAGAGGAGAGAGGGAAGAGGTTATTGTAGGGTGGAGCTGGATGTGATTTGACGGGTGGTGCTGTGAAGAACGTGGAGGAGCAGGCGACGGTGGGTGAGGAGACCATTTTTGCTCGCAATTTGGGTACGTAGAGTCGATTGGTGCAGGTTGTGGCTGTTTTTGTTGTGATGAAGCTATTGATCGTATGGACTCTTGTGTTTGTTTGGTTGTTGTAGGTAATGAGCGCTCGCACGTGGTAGATCCAGCGTTTATGGAGAAGATGGCGCGTGCGTCGGCGGAGTTGCCCAACATGTCGGTCCGAGTGTTGCAGCAGGCGGACTTGGAGAAGGAGGGGATGCACATGTTCTTGAGCGTCGGCCAAGCTAGTGTCTGTCCTCCTCGTCTGGTTATTCTGGAGTATCGTGGTAATCCCACCTCGGACGAGAAGATCGCGCTGGTTGGCAAGGGCATCACGTTTGACACTGGCGGGTTGAACCTCAAGCCCACGGGCTCGATTGAAGACATGCATATGGACATGTGCGGGTCGGCTGCTGTGCTTGGCGCGGTTCGTGCTGCATCGCGCCAGGGACTCAAGGTGAACATTGTCTGCGCCCTTGCCCTCGCTGAAAACGCCATTGGCTCGAAGGCCGTCAAGCCGCTGACGATTGTCAAGTCGCATAAGGGTATCACTGTTGAGAACAACAACACGGACGCCGAAGGGCGTCTAGTACTTGGTGATGCGATGTCATACGTCCAGAAGGAGTACAAGCCCAAGAAGATTATCGATGTGGCTACGCTCACTGGTGCGTGTATGGTCGCGCTGGGCGAACACTGTGCTGGCCTATTTTCCAACTCGGACGATCTCGCCATGAAGCTGCAGCAGACAGGGGTAGAGTGTCATGAGCGCTGCTGGCGTCTGCCGATCCTGCCAGAGCACACAGCTGCCCTCAAGGGCTCGCAATCGGACTCCCGTAGCACAGGTCGTGGTCGCTACGGCGGTGCCTCTACGGCGGCAGCTTTCCTGCAGCAGTTTGTCTACAAGAATGTGGACTGGGCTCACTTGGACATTGCAGGACCGTCGAACTACAGCTCGGCCAAGTCGTACTTCCCCAAGGGAGCCACGGGCTTCGGCGTCCAGCTGCTTTACAACTACCTGAAGAATCATGAGCAGCAACAATAGAGGGATCCTTCGGCATCTGCGTCGTGTCTGTTGTTACACGATAGAATGGTAAGAATGAACGGAGTGATGAGGAAGCACTGGCGTACGGTACCTTCTTGCATGTTCGCTGTTTCAAATATGAAGGAGTCGATTGCACCGTGTGTATGCTCCAGGTGAACAGCAATCGTCAGCGTCAACTGAGCTAGTGAGATGTCAGCTCAGCCAAACTGCGAACACGACGTTGCCGTTCATCCATGTGCAGACACTTGCTTTCACGGCTACAGGAACATCCAAGCGGATATTCCGATGAAGTATGCGCCTCTGTTGGCCAGTACTTCATAGCTCCTCTGCATACGACACGACGATTGACCAGTTCCCCATGCACTGATATGGCTGAGATTTGCACTTGTCGCGTAAGTTCCCCCTTCAACATTACGATCTCGTCGGCAAGATTTCACGTACAAGGCTCCACTCTGGATTGCTATGCTTGGCACTAGCAGCAGGCTGTTAGCACCAAGGTCTTGTCATCACTAGACAGCAGACGATTCTTCTAGCAGAAGAACTGCACAAATGATCGCTGCTGCCTCCTGCGCTCGGTGCATTTCTCCTGCAGCAGACATCGCGATGCACCGAGACGACGTTATGGTAGGCTGGCCACGCGCGTGATGGAGGAAGTGAGCTGCAAGCAAACGCTGGCTGTGGGCACATTCTCGGCCACGCTAGACAATTGTATGTCGCGTCGGATGCAGCTCAAACCTGGTGGTATGCTAACGGTCAAGTGCACCTTACCAAGCCTTTGATATGCGTTGCTTGCGAACAATCGCGATCGCAAGCTGCGCATGTTGTCCATAAGAGGGACCCTTTCTAGCCACATGTGATGTCGCCTCCGTCTTAGTTCCCCCCCTTGCTCGAGCTGGAGCCGACAATAAGAAGCAAATGCGACTGCGTCGAGCAGAAGAACAATAAAACTGGACGCATAGCTCACATTCAGCTTACTTACCGACTCACCAGCAACCGCGTTCCAACAGTCCCGTGGCTCCTACATAACTCAAGCACGTATAGTACGGAGGCAAATTGTACTCTTGCATCCACCGGGCCACATCCAGACCGATATCCTCCTGCCGGTCGAACAGCGTCAACCGCAACATCCCTCGCGACAAGAAGACTCGACGTGGCAACTCGAACGTTTCCATCTGCATCGTCAATACATTAGCACTCACGAAGAAAACACACTTTTAGCACATTTGCATGAAATCGTTCGTACCGTCATGTCCATGACGATATGAAACACCGTCGACTCATAGACCAACGAATCAACCTCGCCATCATCACGCAGCTCATAGAACGCGAACGAGGCGCGCTTCGGCGAGTACGTCGGACTGCCGGGGTACCAAAACACTCGGTACGGCACAATCTGCACACTTTCAACCAGAGCATTTTCCGACAGTGTATAGTCCAGATGATCAGTGGACGTGCATTCCCACGTCGGAGCACTGCATCACGAACAAAAGAGCAGTCCATGATCAAAACATCAGTACTTCAATACACAACAATGAAATCCATAAACGTAAATAAAGTCAGTTCAACATAAAACCATCAAGGCCCCACATACCTGCTCCAATAGCACGGACGTCCTCTTGCACAGCCACACTCGAGCTGCAGTCTCTTGCCAATAGCTTCATAAGCAGCTCGGTCGTCTCCCACCCCAGCCAAAGCCGTACTCGCCGTATCCTTATTGAACCCATTCTTCAAAAGCGCCACGACAGTACTACAGTGTGACCTCGTCAGCGTATTTTGAGCTGACTCGTTGATGTGGTCCACTGAAGTGCAGTCTACACCACAAAAGTAGCACCAACAATAGCGTGACATCAGCCGAACCGACGCCTAGTGCTACCGACCAGGCAGCTGCTCACCGCGCACTTGGAGGAGCACCGACTGCTCTTGGCTCACGGGGCGCCGAGTCAGTAGCGCGAGTCGTTTCCATCCCAACGAGCTTCGGGTGCAACTGTCGTGGGCGTAAAGCGCCAGTCGGTGCGCGAGTATTCGCCACGTATCTGAGTCCAGTAGAATCAGAGCAGGAGAATCAGATGCGATCGAGAATTTGTACGACGACGTACCGCAGTGAACGATGGCGTTCCACATGTGGTGACTGACGACTTCGAGTTGCAAGAGACTCGCGTGGTCAATGAACTGCAGCGTCCTGGCCAGTAGCTCGCGTGGCAAGTCACACAGCTCCATGTCGAGCAGCAGCGTGAAGTAGTGGTAAGAGGATGATGAAGGTAGAAGTTACCAGGACATTGACAAGTGTGCGGACAATGCGAATCAAAAGTTGTGAATCAACGTGTTATTTGTACGTACAAAGAGCAGTCTGTCGTACACTTGTACGATGGACTCACGAGCTCCGACGGGAGCTGACAAGTGTGCGGACAATGCGAATCAAAAGTTGTGAAGCGACGTGTTATTTGTACGTACAAAGAGCAGTCTGTCGTACACTTGTACGATGGACTCACGAGCTCCGACGGGAGCTGTACGCTGGTCCACGACGCCTACCGCCTACTTACCACCATGATGTCGTCTCATCCTTATTGTCCCATCGAAGAAGAGCTTGACGAAGCATGCGCTGGAACTGCGACGTCGCGGCTCGCTCGCTTTTAATCTCTGCTCGGAGACGCTCCATTTCGTCCATTGCTCGATACTTACTTGGTGCCGCGGCTCCGTCCAAAGCTTTCAACCATCCAAAGCTTCTTCGGATGCTCTGCACCGAGACTGGTTTATTCACGACGACGCGCTTGGCCTTCTTGAAGCTGCCACTGGGCGACGTAAACTCTGTCCAGGCCGAGGAGGGTGCAGTTGATACAGTTGCCCCAAACTCACGCCAGTCAGCCGGATAGTACATCGTAATGTCATCCAGCGTCTCGAAGAAAGTCGCGTAGATCTCGTTGAACACCTCTCGCCATGGCAACAACACATCAGCATCCTGCGGAGTCACTTGATCTGTCTTACCGTCTCGTGTCAGGAGCTCATGAACCGAGAGAAGCGTGCCGAAAATCGACCTTTTAAGCTCGTATGTCGACACCGCCGAAGCTGCGGCATGGGATGCAAACAGTCGATCAATAAAGCTCGCCACTCTTTTGAAGTATACGTCACATGCCTCGTCACGCGTCAGCGGGGAATCCACAACAGCAATGCGAGTGACTTCAAGCGCTGTTAAAACCTTCTTCATCCCGTGCCGCCTCTCCTGCGAGTTCCAGCCACGCGAGGGGTCTACAACGGCAGATTGCAACTCTGGCGGCGCATACGTCAGGTCCATTACGCCAGACGTAGATATGTTTTCATGCACGCGCCGGAAGGCTTCACAAATACTGCTCTGGAGTCCAATCGACGATTCGAACTGGTTCGTCATCGCCCCCATGCTGCTCTCTAGAAGCTCCCTCAAGCCAACGCTCTTAAGATGACGCATGGGAGGAGACAACTCTGCAATTGTTTTCAACACTTGCCTGAACTTGTGAGGAAGCGAGTCACCTGCGTCGATCACTTCAGCGCGAGCATGTACCACCTGTGAAGCAAATCGACTTCGCATTCGCTCCATGCAACTCTCGAGTCTTTTGACGAGCAGTCGCCGAGACGACTTGACTTCCGTCGAAGCAAACCCTACAGCAAGCAGTGTCACTTGGCATCCCCTGTTCAGAGACGCTAGTAAATCTCCCACTTGCTGCTCCCAGCTACTGCAATTGCTTGCTACATGCAGCGTACTCATATCAACGGGTAGTAAGATCGCTGAAGTCGCAGCTAGCTTCTCCTGTTGTGTCTTGTGTGTATTCCGCTCAGAGAATGTCGAATCGAGGTACCGACTGCACACCGCGACTCCCTGCTCCTTACCAGTAACCCACTGGAACGTGCGATGGCAGTCACGCTCAGGTACAGACACATTCTGCGCACCAGCCTTGACTGCGCACCACAAGCCAAACGACGATACAGCTTCATCCATTAAATCTGCAATCACTAGTTTCCACGCGACTGATGGTACTCCAGGGTTTTGTCGACAAAGCGGACCACTAACCAATTCTTGGATGTCTTCAGAACACCAAAGCGATAGAATGTCTGAGTCTGAAGGTGATACATCTGCTACCACCCTTGACAATCGTTTTTTCTTCATCGGAGGAGCAGACGCTCTGTCAGCTCCATTGAAAAGCCATTGGATGCTGTCTTTCGCCTTTTGATGAGGCCGGTCAAGTCGAAGTTTTGTCGCATCAATTGAAATGGGCCCGGGGCCGTCGCGTGACACTTGCACATACTTCTTCCACAGGTGCAGTCTTAGTTTAAGAACTGCAAATCGTTGCTTTCCAGCTCGGCGCACTCTCTTCCTTTCTGCTCGCTCTTCAGCAAGCTGCGCTTGTCGTTGCACTTCAAGTGCAGCTTCACGCGCTCGACGCGCACGTTCCTCCGCCAACCCTTGCTGGCGACGCCGCTCAAACTCTTCTGCTGCCTTTCGCCGGATTTCTTTTTGCCGTTCTTCTTGTTGGTGTCGCTCTTCTTCCGCAGCCTTCGCTCTCATGGCTTCCGCTTGCTGTAACGCAGCAAGCCGTTGCCGCTCCGCTTCCTGAGCCATTTCTGCCATCTTGCGCTGCTCTTCTAACTCACGCTGCTTTTGTTCGCGCAACCGGGCTTCCAATTCTCTCTGTCGTCGCCTTGCTTCTGCAGCTTCGTTTTCAGCCGTAGCTTGAGCAAGTGCGTCCCGCTTCATCTGTTCTTCACGCTGAGCAGCCTCTTCAGCGGCAGCCTTCATATATCGTTCACGTCGAGTCTTCTCTTCTTTTGCCTGCTCAAGACTCCGCATTCGTTCAAGCATTGTTCGCCTCTCCTGCTCAAGCTCCAGCTTTTTTTGTGCAATCGATATGAGATCATGTCGTTTTTGATCGATTTCCAGCTGATGTTGTTCGCTCGAAAAAAAGTCGTCGACGGTCTCCACTTCAGCACTTGTCGGGGACGTAGTATCCCCGTCGGTGTAATCAACGAAATAGGAGTACTCATCCTCGTACAAAGGTCGGTCCGGGTACAACCGGGCCTGTTCCTCCTGCTCGGTTTCTTGTATCAGCTTGCTTAAAGCTGGATACTGGTCTCGAGGATATTCCGTCACCCCGCGGCAGACGTCTCGTCGTAAGAAATTTCTGTACAAAGCGAGAACTGAGTGAGGTCAGGCCTACATTTATCAACAGTACCGATGCGCGTACCCTTGCTTCATCGCGACGAAAATTTTCGAGCCCCGAATCTTCAGTGGTCGATCGTTCCGTCGTAGTTGAGTGTCTGCAATAATATCAGCACAAATGATCAATGCTCGTGCCACAGCTCTCAACCCCACATCGGTAGATCCGTACCTGTTTCAAATTTCCCACCAAACTTTAGTAGGATTTCGCTGTCGTCGTCGATATCGGGCTTGCCGAGTATTCCAATTTGATGTTGGTGACAAACTGAATATGCGTGTTCAATGTCATCGAAACACAGCAAGTCCGCCAAATCCTCCAGTGGGTAAGTCTGGCTGCGATATGATCGATTCATACGAAGCAACGCCGAAGACCGGACATTCGGAATGTACCGGCAGAGTAAACATGACTGCAGGTATGTCGCTTCACGGAGAAGCAAGAAAAACTGATAGTAGTCGCCAGTTTGACGAGCAACAAACACACGCATTGCAAACTTGACGTGACGGCTTTCCACGATAAGATGCGGCAGATCTTTTACGTACTTTAGCACGTCCATACCGCGACCATTATCCAGCGTACAAAGTATGAAATATGCGCGGAACTCGGCCTCAAATGGACTAAAGTACGCGGCATCTCCCACCTTGTGGCTTTCGTCGTACAGCTCGTTCAGCGACTTGAGCGTTTGGCCAAGCTGTTCCATGTTTTGCTGGGCCACAAAGCTTGGTGTTTCAATGAGTTCGTGCTCGCTGAGAACGTGATACCGTGCAATTCGTTCATGGATGTCCAGAACTATGGGATGCACGCGGCCTCCAGCGCCACGGTAGTTCTGTAAGATGAAGTCTTTACGAATCATTCGGAAACGGTCCCAACAAAAGTTATACAGCTCGATCGGCTCCGGAGCTCGAGGCGGCTGAAATCGTGGGTCCAACCCACGCCGATCCAAATCCATTATAGCTTGCTCAATGTACAATTGGGTGCGCCGGAGGACACCAGGGGGACGAATTTCGTCCGGAATATCCAGTTTGTGATCAGCTGAACTGCGCTGAAAACGCTTGATAATTGTATCGCGTTCGGTCCCGTATTGACCAGGATAGCACTTTTCAAACACGCTCAATTCATCTACACGGATGTGCAGCTCTCGTTCTACCTGACTGCACATATCGGTACAAAGACCATCCAAGTTCGCGGCTGCTGAAAGTTGCGCCTTGTTGCTTTCATCTCTGCCACCAGCTATTGCCGGTGGCACGGAAATGAAAGAAGCCTCCTCCTCGTTCCTTTTTGGTGCTCTTTTCTTCAGTCGAGCTTTCCGGTGCTTCCCAACATTTTCTTTTGTGCGGCTCGGCTTTATCAGCTTTGGCTCATCTACAATGTCGTCGCAGTATATACTTTCCTGGATGTAACTAGCAGTGCTCTGGTGCTCACCAAAATGATTAGTATCTGCTTCTGCTCTGGCACCAGATCCCCTAGCACGCTTACTTGGACCAAGCGAAGCTTTGTTCATACCACTCATTCGCTTCTCCACCATATCCGTCTTGTTGGCACTCGTGAACCGCCCAACCAAAGCTTCCTGGTTATCGTTTGAGACAGGAGGTCGATTTTCACGAAATCCGCCGAAGGTGCTGGTAGCAGCAATGTTTCCATCGAAAAAAGGCTTCCGGACAGACTGGGAGGTCGTCGGAGCGTTACTACTTGCTGCACCAAATGTGGTTTGAACATATGGTGTGTTTATAGATTCACCACTGCTTTCAGCGGCAGCAAACAAAGTGGTTGCACGGGGATGAAGAGTTGCTGTATTTGGAGTGACTCGTTTCTTCTGCACTTTGGTGCCGGAAGATTGGCTTCCAAATGCTGTACTTTGCGACATAAATGGCGTCGATGCTGCAGTACTAGCAGACCCAAATCCGTTCGATGCTTGCAAAAACACACTTTGCCCGCGCTTCGGCAGATGTGTTCCAAAAACAGTTTGACCCCCACCGGGTTCACCATCTTTTCCTCGAAATAGTGTGCTGTTTGCACCAAAGACCGGCGCCCTGTTGTCGAAATCTCTGACCCTCTCTTCATTTTCTACGCGCTCATGATTTTGTATCAACAAATTTCCTCCTGCTTCCGACGCTGACCCAAATGATGAGCGGGTACTCGTCGACGTTGACGATAAATTGCCGTCGTGACCAAAAGATGTGGACCCAAACGTCAAACTCGCTCGATTGTTGTTCTGCATCGTGTTCTGGTTCATCTGTCCAAACGGATTCCCACTTGTCGCAGTGTGACCAAATCCACTTGAAACCATCGACGAAGTTCGAGCCAATCCCCCTTGCAAAAAGCCGTCGAAGTCCCCTTCTGGCTTTCGAGCCCCAGCCAAACTGCTTGAGAGCAGTGGCAGTTGGTTCCCAAAGCCAGGGCTCTGTCCGAACTTTGTCTGAATGTCTGGAACGTTGCCATTGGACTGGAAAGGGTTCACTGCTGTCGGTCCTGGAAACGTGAAGGCAGCGGAGCAATCAATACCTAGAGATGCCTACAGGAAAACAGTGGAGCAAAGCAGCAATGGCGTAGAGATAGAGAGCGCTTGTAGCTTCTACTCCAGTACCTGAGCACGCCCTGTAGCTACAGCGTAACCACAAAAGTGTACCCTTCCGTACCTTGATTTGACCCAAATAGATTCGTATTCTGCGTCCCAAAGCTGTCGAAACCAGTGCTTGCACCGCCTGGAAGATGCATAAAGAAGATTGAGAAAGACACAGACGTATGTTAGCACGCAATGGGCGAGAGGGGGCGGACGAGACAAAGCACATGATGCCGAACGCACTTCCTGAGCTGAACATGTTCAAAGCTCGACTGAGTTCGTACCCCCTCGGGCGTGGTACAGTGTACCTGCCAACGCCTTCTTACTCGATCGTGTGACGGACCTTATTCTAGACAGCATCCTGATACAGGACATCAAGATCTCGTGCTTGGATTGGCTGTAAATCAGTCCGATACTAAGTGCAAGTCAATTCGAGGACTGGAGAGGGGAACCACCAATTCTCGCGACCACTGCTCGCACTTGTCGTAGTGGGCACCAAGTTCCAAATTGCCCGCATCTCTTTCTGAGTCACTTCGCGCGAAGGTAAATGGACGTCTGCGTCTGCTCTGACGGGATTGCTAGAGCGAATGAACGACTGACGATACATTTGCAATGTCGCTCCCTCTCTTTGTGTCGTTGAGAAGAAAACATGGTCAAGCACAACAACGTCATCCCTAATGGACATTTCCACAAGTACTGGGAATCCCGAATCAAGACTTGGTTCGACCAGGTACGACACTAGGAGATCAGAACACGCAGAAGCCATCAGTACAGTGGCCATGCTGGTATACGAGCAGGACACGAGGCGACACCACTCAGGTCCATTGAAAGCCGAAACACACACCCTCAGTTGATCTTTCACAGTGTGAACAAAGGTGTCAATGGACACCGATTGCATGATTAGTTGGTGTCGTGTCGTAGCTGGCTGAGCGGCTGGGTTGGCCTCTCACAAATTTACTTGAAACGTGTACTGATGTCTGCTTCTTTGTCGCTGCAATAGGCTTCCAAGAAGAAGACCCGCCGCTTGAGACGTAAGGCCAAGGCTGCTGCCATTGCCCCGCGTCCGGCTGCTGGTCTGCTGCGTCCTGCTGTGCACTGCCCTACGATCAAGTATGGCTCAAAGGTCCGTGCTGGCAAGGGCTTTACGCTCGAGGAGCTCAAGGTGGCTGGCATCAACCGCAAGCAGGCTATGAGCATCGGCATTGCCGTGGACTTTCGTCGCACGAACCTGTCGGTTGAGTCGCTCCAGGCCAACGTGCACCGTCTTAAGGCGTACAAGGCCAAGCTGGTAGTGTTCCCACGCAAGAGTAACAAGATCAAGAACGGTGACTCGGCTGTTGAGGAGACCAAGAATGTCGTGCAGCACAAGGGCGCGATCCTGCCGATCTCTCGCTCGAGGGTCAAGTCGACGACTGCCGTCATCACGCCCGAGATGAAGGAGAAGAGCGTGTTTGCGCAGCTGCGTGTGGCCCGTGCCGACAAGCGCATTTTTGGCAAGCAGGCCAAGCGTTTGGCGGACAAGAAGGAGGCCAAGAAGTAAGTGGTTGCGTCGACAGTTGCTCGCCTGCTCTCTCAACCGGATCGATACGAAAGAGGCGGCACTATTCAGAGTCGTTGTGCGGCATATCGGAACACAATACATCGCGCATGAAAAAAACAAAGGACTTGGTGGTCTTGACTCGTGCTCTGTGGTCATAGCAGGACGAACGCTTCATGTCGTTTCGACTGGAAAATGCAGGCACTACTACTATGCAGGGATTTTATCGTGCTTGGCATATCTATTCCGCACCTTTGCGTCCAAAATCGATCGCAAACGATAACAGAGCAATAGTTACGTGTGCTGTGACTCACAACATTTCTCAACGTGAATGTCAGTTTAATTTATCCTGTTTTCAGGATCCACGCTATCTTAAGCACGTGAAAACACGATGCTTTATCTCAACCACGTGGATGGTTGATATGACGTGGTCCACGCCATCTCACCGCTTCGATGAAGGACACTGTACCGTGCAAAGCCCGGCGAAGCGACGCTGTCATTGGTGGAAAGTGTACGTTTTCTTATTCGTCAATAATCGCCGCCTGACACCATCGAGCAGCTATTTGCTGGACGGCATGACGCGCAACGAGTTCAACATCGACGAGGCCGAGGACTTTGACGACGGCACGCGCGCCGTGCTCCACGATGATGGAGAGCCGGATCATGATGCCGAGAATGAGGACGCGAAGATTCTGTGCTCGTCCCGCAAACAGCGACTCCAGACGAAGCAGCAGAAGAGCGGCCAGCAGCAGCGAGAACCGGCGTCTGCTCTGCGCGTCAAGAACTGGGACGCTGGAGTGCTGGAGAGCGAGGAATACGCTGGAAAAGTGGTGGAGAGGAGGGACTTGATGGAGGACGAAGAGTCACTGGACGAGGACGCGATGGCTGAGTGGTCGGAGGCCGAACCTTTTGGAGCGTCGGAAGAGGAGAGTGATGAAGAGGAGAAGGGAGAAGAAGGGGGAGATGAGGAAGAGATCGAAGAGAGTGAAGATGAGGATAAGAGCGCGGAGATGCTTATTCGTGGCTTCCAGAAGGAGGACTCGGTGCGGCTCATGGGGGCACAGGACCGTGACAAGGTCGTGGAGAAGGCCACGCACGTGCGTAATCAGAAGCTGATCTGGGAGCGCTGCCTTGAAGTACAGATTTACACAAAAAGGCTTTTGACAACAGCGAGAGATGCAGCAGATCAGGACGTGACAGATGGAGAGACGACGGAGGAAGACACGGTGGCAAGTAGAAAGGAACAGGTGGTGGCAGAGCTTTACAAGAGCATCGAAGCCGTTGCAGCCTTGCAGGAGAAGCTGTGCAATGTCCCTGAGTTGTGCACTGTCGAAGTGTCGATGAAGAAACGCAAACGCTCGTGCGATGATTTGTGGCAGGAAATCGCAACCAGCAGTAGCGCGATGCTGCCTCAGTATAACGACATCCTCAGTACATACACGCGCAAGACGGACCTGGCAGCAGGTGGTAAGAACACTCAAGCTAAGAAGTTTAAGGCTGTGAACCAAGACATCTTGGCGCAAGTCGAGTCAGTGCTGGTGGATCCTCGGCGAGTGAAGCGAAAGGCACACGCTTTGTTGGATGTGCCAGAGGCAGATGTCACCGAGGGCGGCGAAGAGCAGCTGGACGAGCTCATGTACGATGACTCGGATTTCTATCAGCAGCTTTTGAAAGAGTTCATCGAGAGTGGTGGAGGTGGTGCTGGCCAGGTGAAGCGCACTCACCGCAAGAAGAATCGAATTGTTAACCGTAAGGCAAGTAAGGGTCGTCAATTGCGCTACACGGTCCACCCGAAGCTGGAGAATTTCATGTTTCCGGAGCCTTATCCAAGACCGGAGATGGATGTGACTGAGCTTTTCCGCTCGCTCTTTGGTCAAGTGCGGCACTAGACGACTGCTGTGATATTTCCATGCTGGCTAGAGAATCGATCCACTTCTAATCGCTGAGCTGTTGCTGTTGTTACGCACAGTCGGTAAGATGCGTGCTCGCACCGCATGGTCAGTGAAGAGAGACAAGCGAGCTTTATTCAAAGGACATCATCCTCTTCTTCTTCTTCCTGTTCGCCTGTCATGTACACCTCCTTGACCTTCGCCAAATTCTCTTCCACCTCGCGCAAACGCAGCTCATTCACCCCACTGGCACCAATCTTCTTGACAATCCCAACTAACGTGATCACCTTTTCAGCAACATGCGCTACCGTCAGTGCTCGAACTCTTTTGGCCCGGTTTGTTTTTTCCAAAGCACAAAACTCGTCCTCTGCCAAGTCCATCGAGGCATCTGCTAGTGTTGTTGTAGAATCAATGAGCTCCTCGCCGCGCTCTCTTAAACGCTCAGGAATCTCATATTGTTGCAGTAATCGCACTTCCACTGCATACAAACTGCTTTGGAACACTTTGTGCTTGAGCTTGACCGTATCCTTCAGTATCTGCGTAAACTTGTCAATCGATTCCGGTTTGCCCTTGGCCATCGTGCGCATAATTGCAGGAGCATTGACAACTTGCCTACACTTTGCAATCAATTGGCCTGCATTGCGTTCGAGGAACGAAAGTCCCCACAGTCGGCCGTACGCCTTACCAGCATCCAGTCGTTCTTGCTCCGAGAAGTACCAGTCTCGTGTCTCCTTGTTCTTCACAAGCAGACGCGATGACCACGTCTGAACCGAGTCCGTCCCAAGTGCTAAACCGTACTCTTCTAGCTTTGGGGCAATCATTTGGTAGAACGCAATCGCGTCCTCATCGGTCGACAGCTTTGTCGTCAACACTTGCGCCACCAAGTGATTCACATGCTCTCGATTTTCCACCAGCTTCTTGTTGCTCTCCTTTCGAGCCTTTTTCTCCAGCTGCTCGACCATTGTCATGCCACCAGGACCCTTTGACTGCTGAGCTTCGTCCCCAAAGATGTCGTCGATGACGTGTTCCGCAGCAGCCAGCTCTTGAGCCATTTGGTCTTCTACTGATTGTGGTGGCGTGGTAGTTGACACTGCACCATTGCTATGGCCATGATCACGTGCCCCATTTGTTAACCCTGCACCGGTTGACACTGTATGATGCAGTTGACGACAGAGTGTGAGTACAAGACCAACTCTACAACATGGTTGAGTACAAGACGCACCTTGGTGAATCATCTGCTGCTGCTGCATGAGAATGCTAAAGAGCTGCTCCATCGAGAGCGGTCCTGTTGGAGCTACTGCAGGTGGCTAGTCAATCGTACAGCAAGCAATGCATGAATGAGTTCAACCTGGAATCCGTCAACCATCATCTTGGAATCCACTTTGCATCGTACACCCGGATCATTCGGCGACACTTCATCCGGATGATCAAGCAGGTCGGGATCGATCTCTTCGGCTTTCATCTTGAGCTTGATCTGTTCGTCGGGCATGCCCATGCTTCGCAGCTTGAAGTACTTGATGACTTTCGGGTCATCTTTCACGTGAAGTGGCTTATAAGGAGCAACAGACGCTGGTGTAGGCCAGTTGAGACTGCCCTGCATTGGACTGGCCGGTGCGATTCCACTTGACAACTCCTGGAGCGAGACCTGCATCGACGGCCGCGTCACCACTGAATGTTAGAATAGCTGCGAGATACCATCTGCTCAACTTGCAATCGCATTGCAGACATCTTACCCCATGGTCATTCGGAGACACAGCATCGGGTTCATCCAAGAGAATGGGATCCACACCGTCAGCTTCCATCTGCATCTTGATCTCGTCCATTGGCATGTCCGTACTCTTCAACTCGAAGTATCTCCGAAAGACTGGATCATTTACTACCGTCATGTGGATGTACTCGCCCTTCTTCGGCTGCCAACACCCCATCAGAAATGTAAACATCGTAGCAACAGCGGCAGCTACACAAAACATCATTTCTACGTACGCCTGTATCGTTAGGAGAGACCGCGTTGGGTGTGTCCAGTAGATCCGGACACACTCCATCGCCTTTCATCTTGACCTTGATCTGATCGACAGGCATGTTCATGTCTTTCAACTTGAAGTATTTCGTCAACTTCGGGTCGCTCTTTACCAATAGCGGTGTATTGACTGAAGCTACAGTTGTCACACCTCTTGTCGGTACCGCAAACGTCATCGCCTTTGTCTTTTGCTCCAGCTCGTTCAGCTTTTCTTGCAGTCTCCTGATCTCCTTCAAACTCGCACTCGGTTCTACTCGTTCCGGATGAGCGCTACTGCCATTCTTCTTGTCTGCCGTGAGCTGCGAGACCTGCTTCTGCAGTTTGTCCAAGGACGAATTGATCGTCAACGTATCTGCTCGAGCTGCCAAGTCCAGCAGTTTTCTAACCTGAATGGGTGTGAGACCAGGAACAGCAATGCCGCCACCTCCACGACCAGCCGACTCAACTGAACGGGTGACTTCTTCGCTCTCTGAATCGCTCTCATCGTCGTGTTCGTTGTCGGACTCTTCTTCCTCGTCTCCCCCGGCCGCTTCTCTCTCCATCCTCATTTTTATGCAGAGGTTGCGGTGAGTGCGCGCGTGTCTTCTCTTGCACGTCTGTTACCATACGACAACAGCAACAACGACAACATCAAGCGCCCCTCGTTAGATCAATGCATCGACTCGACGTCCTTATAGTCTCAACTACAGTTGACTAGTCCTCTGAACCTACTTCGTTGCAATATGATGCCGTGGTGCAAATAGTGCAGAATAGCGGGGCGTTGTCCTTGTCGCAGTAAGCACACTCGGCGCCCGAACCGGCTGCAAAACTCATGCTCAGGCTGCGCGTGAGGCGACTCATGAGCTCATCGTCGCTGTCGCTGTCTACCATAGTCGCTTTCTTGGTACGTGAGGTTCGAGTCGATTGAATTTGACTCCAACTCTCACGTGGAGCTCCGCAAAGTATCAAAAGCAGAGCATTGGGATGGGGATCTTCAGCTCGCTGATAGCTCTTGACTAGCAGTGGAAACATCGCGGAAAGAAGCACTCTCGCTTTCCCAAGTAATTCATCTGAGTGATGATTAGCAACTGTGGTCTCTTGCTGTAGACGTAACAGGTATAGTACTAAGGGAGTGACGTTTACTTCAGCTATTCCGACGAGGTACATTCGTTAACACACAAGCGACTTGAACACCAAAGTTTACATGAGACAGATACGTACTAACGTAAACGAGACCGAGAGGTACATGGGTCTCACTTCAACGTACGGTTTGGACGATATTTAGAGAAAATCATCAATTATTCTGCCTTTATAAATATCGCATGGTGTCCGACTGCGTCCGTCGAACCGCTTGTATAGAGAGATGAGGCTATGAAACTGGATGACACATGAGGGGGCTGGCATTTAGGTGACGGCGTGTGACAATCGACGACGCGAAAACATCCGCATCATGTTCGGTGACTTGTTGCTCTCGCTCATACTGAGCATGTAGTCCGACCCTACTTGCTTGCACGCACCCAGACCCGAGAATTGCTGGAACAGCTCGCAGATAGTGGCGTGGCCATTCGCCTCTGCGATCATCATAGCATCGCTGTCATTCTTCGTGCGCTTCTCGGGGTCGGCATCGTGGCACAGCAAGTACTCGGAGATTGCCAGTGATCCCAATTTGGCGGCAAAATGCAAAGGCGTAATGCCGCTAGCAGTCATGACATTCACGTTTGCGCCATGCTCGACAAGTATCGAGACAATCTCGATGTTCTGAGAGACGATGGCAGCATGCAGTGGATACGTGCCTCGTTTACTGCAGATAGAAACCTTTGCACCCGCATCAAGCAGCATCTTCACGATCCCTACACACCCGTTACGACATGCTGCAATAAGCGGCGTCACACCAGCATCGTTTGCCTTGTTCACGTCTGCACCTTCCTCCATCAAAAGCGCAACAATCTCACTTCGTCCCAACCGGGCTGCAATGAGTAGACACGATGAGCCGTCCACCATGGCCGTATTCGCGTCAGCGTAGTTGAACAAAATGAGCTGCACAGCGTACACGTGGCCGATGCGGCACGCCACGTACAGGCAAATCTCCCACCGACGAGCCGTGGTAAGCTCAGGTGACTTGAGCTCGTCAATGTCGCTTGCAAACTGAGTCAAGACATGCTCGTAGAACTCCTCCATGAACGAGTGCACCGTATGAACTCGCAAGGCCTTCACCTGCAATGTCGGTAATGACGCACAGTCGGCTTTATGCGAAGACATTGTCAGTCCGTCTGCAATTCGACGTGTAGCTGCTCGCGGGGCAGCAAGATGGATCTCGCTCAGTTCCAGGCCACAATCTGCAAACCCTCCGTCGTCTTCATCCTCTTCTTCTTCATCGTTGTCTTGGCAAAGCATTTGCTCGGCACATTGCTGTCTCCAGCTCTTCAGTGCCAATGGACGGTGAAGAAGGGCCACCGTGTCTGCTGCAAAGTGCTCAGCTGCACCCAAGAAGTTTGTGTACGTCTTGAGTACCCGACAATTGTCCTCCTGCAGCTTCTCACTTAGTGTCACACCGGTGCACGTAGTAAAAAACGCTTGCAGCGATGTAACAAAGGCCGCGAGCGCATCGCGTCGCGCGTTAATGGCTACGTGATCGAGCCCTGTGAGTTTCGATCGAAGTGACCTTCGCGACGGAAACGGGAACGACTGCAGCAATAGATACAGTGCGTCAAAGTCGCAGTGATCTCCGGCGCACTGACACTTGCGCGTTCTGAAGGAAGTCGCTACCTGGTGGTGATGGTGCCGCCCGAGCGGATTATTGAGGCGCTCACGGAGCATTTTCCAGAGGCGTCGAAACTGTGAGTACGACCGGAACGTCTTACGGACTTTATGAGGCGGCGAGGACGTTGGTATGGGAGCGTCTGTTTTGGTGAGCTCAATGGCAAAGTAGATCTTGCCGTCAACGATTTGGTACGTGTGCACGGCCACGTCGGACGTGTCGACCCAGCTCATGTTGCAGTGCTACTTTCCTTCGGTGTCTGCTTTTGTAGAACGTGTCTAATTGGCAAATGGCTCTGTCGATTGACTGACGGACGGACTGACGGACCGACCAACTTTACTGATAGTCGACGGCACTCTATTTTCTGAAGAGACAATCCGATCCGACAGTCTCACGAGCGACTTAGTTTTGATACCACCCGTGATTGAGCGAACGAAGGCGTGAATAGCCTTTGCGGTTCATTACTTGTCGGTCCAAAGCGAGTCAGTACTATGTGAGAAAAGGTGGTCCGACGAAGCAGCATCGCTGGACGCATCTTACCCGTGAGTTGGTGCCTAACACTTGAGTGCTTTGCCCAATAAGTGCACGGTCCCTCCTTCACAATCCCATGACCGGAAAAACGCAGTGGAGTCGGACGCGCGCTGTCTACCTATCGACCTGGCCATTAGTACTGCGAAACACACGCAACCGTCTTCCTTAGTTAGCTGCTCTCTAGAAACCGAAACGATGTTTGCGATAGACGCGCATTCTGAAACGGGCAAGCCGACTTGGCTTGGCTTGGCTTGTCCAGTCCGGCAGACTTGACGTGCTGTGCTCTTTGATAACGGACTCGCGCGAGAGTGTTACCATAAAGAGCCCAGACGTAACAAGAACGTACACTTGAAGCTAGTCGTGTAACACTTGCTAGCAACCTCAGAAAAAACGCCTCGTACTTGGCCGACGGATTGCAGCTGGAGGAGCGACCGATTGAAGTTGGGATCAAGTCGTCACGCCATCCGGTGATTCATTTTGCAGCGATCAGCGTAGGGGCTGCCGTTAGCATGGTCGAGATGCAGGTGTCCTGCGGGAAAGCAGTCGAGTCTGTCCAATGTAGCTCGTTGAGCTTCGGGACAGTGCTGTGCTTTGCTTCGGCAAGCGAAGCGGATGAAACTGTTTGCGGATGTGTTGTCAGGAGATGTGAATGCAGTCACGGGTTAGAGCTGAGCCGACGCACCATCGCTCGCGGTGGATTTCTGACATGCGGAGGTGGGTAAGCGTGCTCGAACGTAGGTTCGTGGCTGCGATACTTTCGATGGTATGCGTAAGCAAGCCCCTTGTCCACTGTCTGGCGGTCGTACCCGGACTTCTTGCATGCGACTGGTTTGCGTCTGTCCGGTATCGGTCCGTGCATCCATTTTTGCACTGGGGTCGTAGAATCCATGTCCTTCTCGCCACAACGTAGTTGAAATCTCGACACGAACGCGTGGCTGACGTGCACGCCAAAGCGAGACATTCGCAGAAGCGGTTGACACCTTTACGCCCATCCTCTTTTATCAGTGATACTGTACAGAAGACTACAAACCTTGCAGGTGGCATCCTGCGTGCAAAGATTGATGAACTATATTGTAGCAATACCGGGCAAGACACCATTTGTCTTGTACACTCGCGCAGCATGACCTCAGTACGATGGAAATCGTGAGCTACGATTTCCATCGTACAAAGTGCTGGGAGGTCGTTTTGGCTGCCAAGTAAATTAGCGCTATCAATGTACACGGTAATGATCGGAGCTCTACCACATCCGTCTCTATATCGTCATCAAGTTGAAGTCTGCAACTAGTGATTTGCCTGCGACTCCTCCGTGCCACGACTGCTCTCATCAATACCGGATGAACACTTGGCCTGTCTGTGCCATCCATCCGCTCTTCGTGCCTGACACTTCAACATAGCAACCTAAGCACGGACGGTACAACTCACCCGTCTGGTAGTTTCGCTGTCGGTAAGATATCTCTGCCCTACAGACCCACAAAGTGCAGACCTGCATGCAAAACCTGCAAAAACTGCCAACATCGAGATATGCGAGCACAAAGCCCGACCTATACCAAGTACCGTCTCGCCTAGCAGGGGGGACTTACTCTATGCAGGGAACATTCCTAGAGCCTCATTCTCGCAGCTGCTGTATTTTACTCTTCTTTCAAAGGCCACGCAGCAAACTTGCAGTGCGTATAATGCACCGTCCGCGAGTGCTCTTAGCAGCTCAAAGAATGCTGCAAAATACACGGTCACGAGAGCACTTGATACTCACACTTTGAATGGTACATTGCATTCCTCTGACACGCTCCTTGCCTTCGCCTCATTGTAATATCGTGGTCAACGATAGATATGAGCGATAGCGAGCCACGCTCTTTACCAGCTATGTCTGGACGTAAGCCGCACGACTAAAAGCTCTTGAACGTGTGTTCCTGTACTTTCATACGCCACGCCGTGTATTGCTGCAGCTCGTGCAGAAATGCTTCTGATGGTTTGTCTCTTGACATCGGCATCGCAGCGACGTCGAACTCGGACAACTCACCAATGTAGAACTGCTGAAGGTAGCGAAAGGACTGCCGGCTCGCGTGGTAAATCTCAAACATGACCGTCGAGTCTACGTTCATGGCTTCCTGAGCAATCAACTCTGATCCACCGGGGTGCTCTGGAATCCATCGCGTAATGTCGAGCACCATTCCTTGCATAACAAGCCACACCTCGCCCGACTGATTGCGCTGGACGACTTCCTCCCATCGAATCGCTTCCTTACGTACACGTGTCTCAAACTCGCCAACGCGTCTTTGACACACTTCCTGCAGACCAATGCACCCTACCGTTATCGCAGCGCTAAGAAGATCTTCTGCGACTGAGGGATCAAACTGAAATTCCGTGCCGTCATTGCGCGCTTCATGCTCTAGATATAAAAGCAGTCGATCAAACGTGCAGCAATCTACATCCACCTCAATTGTAGTGGAAGCATCCTTGTGCACGCCTTTTCCTGAAAGTACAGCAGACGATAGCTTAATGCACGGAAACAGCAACTTCTTCTTGACTGGAAACTCCTCTTCATCATTCGTCCCCACTGTCACGACATCCGAGCGCATAGACGCAAGACCAGCCGATCCAATCGGCGTCGCATTCCGTAACTCGAACGTTGTTGACTCAACTCTCTCGGACGACACCACCACGAGCACGTCTTCATCCACAAGACCACGATACGAGTCCGGCATCGTAAACTCCGTCTCGTTTTCGTCGTCAGCATCAATCTCAAGCACCCGAACGAAATAGCGGCGATCGTCTGTATACGACATCACCAGGCGCTCGTGCTCCGTCAGCACACGTTGCCACGTATACGTGGCAAACGCCGTCGCAAACTCCTTTGCATCTGTAACAATCCGAGCAGCAGTAGGAGAGTCGTCCTCCTCGTCCCTCGTCCTCCTCATCATCTCTCTCTTCCTCCATTGGACAAATCTCAATTGCCACAACCTTAATCACAGGCACGCGTTCCGTAAAGAGTGTCCACATCTCGGTCTGGAACTTGCAGAGCTCCAGATTAATCGCTTGCGGCTGCGACAAAGCGATTGAACCAACTGGAACTGCCTCATGTGACCAAACCGCCACGACAAACTGCGCGTGAGATCGCGGGTACACGAATGCCGCTCCATCCGCTCCTGTTGCAGTAGCTTCGGCAGGAAAATCGTCCGGATGCAACAGAGCGCAGTGTCTCAGCGTCGCGAGGTCCTTGCGGGAAAGCGGCAAATCCCCCACTTCTACTACACGCAACGAGCGCTTCCAGGTGACGCTACCTTCTCCCTGGGTCCTTTTTTGTTGCTGCTGCTTGAGACGGAGCGCCGCTGCTATGGCGGGCGCGCGGATGGTACCCGCTGGATTCTTGTGGGCATTCCACGGCATGTGGATGGTGTGTTGTTACCATAATACCGGTACGATCAGGAGGGGAGGACGGTATCAAGACCAGTATATTGACGACGGTATCAAGACCAGTATATCGACGACGGTATATTTCACCGAATCTCGATCGCCTTTTTTTCTGGAACGATAGTCGATTCTGAGCATTTGCATGCACTTTCTTCTGCTTATCGAGACGTTGAGTCATCAGTTTACCAGCAAACGAACCACGATCATAAATTTGGAGACAGTCGTGAACAATGACGATGAGACGTCCACGCGGGTGCGTTAAAGTCTCATTTTTGTTAAACCGATCTTTGACGTGAAGGACGGCATCGCAAGGCGACCGGATGCAACAGAAAGGACCAGTTTTTGCGATCTTAATTCGTGGCGGCAGGTTAAGTTTTCTCTGAAACTGAGTTGCTCCGTTACATGTGACAAGCGCACGCCAGTATACGTGTACTCAGCAGCGATCGTCACCCGTTGGCCAACTTGAAGTTCACTTCCAAGCACATGATCAGTTTTGACAGGGTCACGAAAAACACGATCCCTCCTCCTGTGGAGTCGACTGTCACTTTTGAATTTGCCCTTCAAGTGAATCGAGCCATGTACCGTCGTGCCACTTTTTCCTCTTTGATCACCCGCCGTCTGCAGCAGCGCAGCATCTCCAGCTCCTTCAGCCGCCAGTCGGACACAGCGCTTCCTCATTTCCATGCGGGGGACCGGTGCAACCCGCTGCTGCAGACGCCGCAGACGGTGTCGGTCATCGGCGCCCCCATGACGTGTACACGAAAACAATTGCACCTCGTTTGTGGTACGATCGTAACGTGTGTTAACATGTGACTTGATACTGCTGCTATTTTCCAGACGGCCAGCCTTTGCTCGGCACCGATGGCGGCCCAAAGCTGCTGAGAGAGGCAGGACTGCACAAGACGCTGGTGAAACTGGGCTGGTCCGTGGACGAGACTGGCGATATCGAGTACGTGGCGCCGACGTGTGACGATCCGGTGCTGGACCCGCGCTACGGCAAAGCAAAGCAGTGTTTCGCCGGTAAGTGCTGAATCCTATTGCGGGTTTGCTAGTGGAAGGGTTGAGTGACGTGAAACGTATCTTTGGGTGTGCACTAGTTGGCAATGGAACCAAGAAGTTGTACGAGATCTACAAGAAAAAGGCAGAAGAGAAAAAGTTCTGTCTAGTGCTGGGAGGCGACCACACAATTGGAGCAGGATCCCTCGCGGGGTTGCTGTCGGTGCATCCGGACGCAGGTGTGATCTGGGTGGACGCTCATGCAGACATCAACACGCCTGCAGGCTCGGAATCGGGTAACATGCACGGCATGCCAATCTCGTTCCTCATGAAAGGCATGGTCGACACCTCGAAGCTACCTGGATTTGAGTGGCTCGCCAATGTCCCGACGATGAAACCGGATCAACTGGTGTATATTGGTCTGCGGGACATCGACAACTTCGAGCGTAGTGTCATTCGCGAGAAGCAAATCAAGGCGTTTACGATGCAGGACGTGGATCGACACGGCATTGGCAAAGTCATGGAAATGGCGCTTGACCACCTTAGTGCCAAGAACGAGCGTCCAATCCACGTAAGCTACGACATTGACGCCGTGGACCCGTTGATAGCACCGTCCACGGGCACACGCGTGCGTGGAGGACTCACGTGGCGCGAAGCAAACTATGTTGCGGAGGCCGTGGCAGAGACCAACATGATGATTGGACTGGACATGGTCGAGGTGAACGCGACGCTGGCTCCGGGTGTTGGTGCCCAGATCACGGTGGACATGGCACTCATGCTCATCGCATCGGCGATGGGCAACCGCATTTTGTAGGGCGTTGCATCTGGCCGAAATCCCGTGTCACGTGTTTGCGCCACAGCGAGAATGAATGAACGTGTGCTGTTATACTTGCCTGTACAACAGATTATCTTTCACGCCTGCAATCGTTAGTAGCTGTATCTACTTCACTACTTGCATTTCTTCTTGGTACCGCGATCGCTCAGATAGCCGTGTTCTTCCAGTACCAGCCGCGCGCAAGTGTTAATGTGCTTGAAGCGGTCAGGACCAAGCTTGGTACCACCATACCATCGCGTCACCACGACAGCCACGTTCTCGGCATTCAGCAGCTCTAGAAGGCTCGAAAGCTTGTTTCCAGCCCCATGCTCGCCATCCTCATCGTTATCCTTGACTACAAAGTCACCGATTATGCGATACGCCAGCATGTTATGAATCGCCCGTTCAATCTTGCGATCGTCCAGCAGCAGAGCAACAAACGAGCGCACACCTTCGACGCACTTGACAGGACATGCGTGTGCGATGAAGGTACTTTTGCGATCAACGATCGGTGTACCGTGCACAATTAAGGGTGCAAGCATCGCTTCGCGCTCCACGTCTCGAACCAAGTGTGCAGTCCGAACACAAGGACGCAACGTCTTTTGCAAGTCAGCTTCAACATGCATCACAGCATCCGAATTGGTTGGAGCTGTCACCTCCTCCTCCCTGCCGCCATTAGTGACCATTCGGTCAGCAGTGACATATTTCTCCCTTACATCTTCGATCCATTCGTAGAGACAGGCTTGACCGCTCGATCGCTCGAAGATAGCTGCCTGTTTCAATCAGCAGTTGATACCAGAGCAACCAAAGCTTATAGTTGCTGACGTACCAGACTTGTCAAGATCTCATGTCGTTGAGCACTCGTGAGTCCAAATGACTCGTACACTTCAGCGACCGGAGCGTCTGTAGATGGATATCCTTGTGGCAAATGAACCAAGAGGACAATGGAGTGTGGGCCAAGTACAGAGATTGTAAACGATCTCGTCACGCCAGGTCGATCCAAGTCACGCTTGAGCTCGATCTCGTCCTCAAAAATTGACTATAGCAGCCACAGACACAAACGCAATGGCAATGGAAAAGCGTAGTAACCATCGAATGACAGACCAATAGAATAGGGATAATACCTGCAAAACATCGATTTCTTCGCTCTGTTCGAGGTGGCCCAAGTGTACACGTTCATAGCATTATAGAAATGGGAAACATGAATGAAGCTTTAGTAGGTGGCGCTTGCACTAGAGGTGAATGGACTAGGAAATAAGCGCCTCGTACCTGGAGCATAGCATCATTGTCCATGGCTGTGTAAAACCGGACGATACTTTTGCTCAACTACGTAATAGGTAGCATCCCAGTTTAACAAATCTTTGACTAAATGAAGGAGTTCAAAGAACCATCAATTGAAATGACGGATCAGTCAAGTTTAGTCGTACATTTACGGGAATCGGTTGTGTTGCTGTGCTGTACCTATACAATCAGACAAGCAAGGAGTTGGGGTCCGATATGCCATCGATTTCTTTGGGCCCGCTGCTCGACTTTTAAGTGGTCAATGTTGTCATCTACGCCTTCAAAGTTGGATTTTGTAAGAAGTAAAGTCATCCCAGCAAGCGCTGTTGATGTTGCAAGACCAACACGGCACAGTCGACCGACAAGAATACACCGAATCTGGCTACGTTCATAGACATGAGGCATTCCGCTCGACCCACGTCTGACAATCGTTAGCGTATCACGATACTTCACGGAAATCTCTTGCATTAGCTCTAGTTTACAACGACCGTCGAAACGGTCCTGAAACATTTTAAAAACAGACGGCTCTCGCGTTCAACTCTGTCCGAAATCAGACGATTCTAAAACATGAACGAAGCAGCGACGCTACTTTGTCATACGTGTCTAAATCACAACGTGCTTAACACAAGTATACAGTATACGACCCCAACCAACCACTAACGGTGGAGCTGCTATACGACTCGCAAGCAGTGCCCGATGGAGACCAAGCGCGACGCGAATCCACTCTCTTGCACGCTGCATCGGAAACGACGCAAACAAGTCAAGACTCAAGCCAAGGACGGCGGCCAATGGGACCGCTGCATGTTCAAAGTCGTGCGGAAGAACCGCTACTGCAACATTTCCCGGTAAACACGGGGTCGCCGTGCATTGAAATGATTGCAAGCTGTACCTAATGCTGTGTGTATAGCGTGCCAGACTCGCTGTTCTGCGGGCACCACGTCCCGGATACCGAAACAGCTGTGAACAAGAAGTCGAGCAAGTTCAAGGCTGCGGCCCGGCGCCGTGTGGTGTGTCCAGTGGATGCGTCACATACAGTCTACGAGTACGATCTGGCCAAGCACGTGTTAATCTGCAATAAAGTCAAAGATGCAGAGGCGATGAAACAGCTGCCGTACTACAGCCACAACATCAACTCGGGTACCCATTGCACGAGCGAGTTAAAGGACGGTCAAATGTTGTCAGGTACTGCTCAGAAGCAGGGGACGGTGGGCAAGGAGGAGCGTGAAAATGACCACTTGGCATTATCAGCACAAACGCGGAAGAACATCATTGACAAGTTGGTTGCTATTGACTTTGCAGACTTGCGAAAGCGCATTGAAGCAGCATACGAAGTTTGTGTTGGTGAACTTGCGCTGGAGAAGCTTCATCATGTGTGCTGTGACCAACTGTTTCAAGAGAAGAAGAAGCCAGGGGCATCGAGGAGCGTGTTGCGGCACATTGAGCAGCAAGCATCAATTATTGGTCACATGGATCAGGCGAAGTTGCTGGAAGACCCGGACGCAGCGTTCGTCGAGCTCGGGGCTGGACGAGGAATGCTGTCTTTGGCACTTGCTCAGATGTTTCCGGAAAGTCTGTACGTGTTAATTGATCGTGCTCATACGCGAGGCAAGGCCGATCACTTGATCGGTGGTGGCGACGACAAGCGCGAGGAAGCGGTGAAAGAACGATCGACTACGTTGCGTGCGAAGATTGATATTCGCCATTTGAACTTTGCCGGTATGCCGGAAATTCTGGACAAACCCATCGTGTGCATGTCCAAGCACTTGTGCGGCGTAGCTACCGACTTATCGCTACGGGCTATCGCACAAACAATTCCAATACCTGGTAGCGACAAAGCGCTTGCAAGTGAAAGCACACTCACTTCAGTCAGCTCTAGCTTCAAGGGGTTGGCAATCGCACTGTGCTGTCATCACGTGTGCGCGTGGCGGGACTACGTGAATCCATCGTTCTTTCAAGCCCACGGATTTCAGGCCGAGGAGTTTGAATTGCTCGCGTGCATGACGTCCTGGACGACATGTGGCATGGGGCTTGAAGGCGACGCAGTACAGCACGTCCTTGGCATCAGGTTCTGTACTTCATGGCATTCGTTATTCCGTGAGGTACTTTCCTCTCTCATTGTATAATTGTGGTGCTTTCTGTACGATTTAGCAAAGACGATCGCGCAGTCTTGGGACGAAAGTGCAAGCGGATAATTGATGCCGGCCGTGCGGCATATGTCGAGCAGCTCCACATGAAGACCCGTCTCGTTCACTATTGTGACACTAACGACAGCCTCGAAAACTGTTTGCTGCTTGCTTGGCGATGAATCTGTTGTTGCAAAAGTCAGCAGGGTTGATGCTGGTTGGGACTACTGCATCATCCGCACATAGTGATCGGCAGGATTCGCATGTAGAGTGTATCTTGCGAATTTTGTACGAGATCTGTGCTGGACTTGTCATTTGCTAGTACAGTCGTTCCTTGGATGACTAACTCAGGTTTGGTGGGGACAAAAATTCGGTGAAGTAGCCGAGATTATGAGCTACGTGAATTCGTGCTGTTATTTTTCTGTGAAAAGGAGAAATCAGTCAAGCAGCGGGGGGTTTCCAGCTCTAAATCACAATCATAACCGTGTCCCAAAAGTGATTCGGCTCACTCATGCACAAAGGCTCGAGATCTACCAGCACAAGTCCCACAAGGAAAAAGCCTTGGCTCATTTTGCTCCTCGAATCTGTCAAGGCTTGCCGAGATGCGACGCAGATGTGAGTAGTTGATCTCAAGTTGAGATTGTAACTGTGCGTTCTGCTCACTTTTTAACGTCTCAATTTTGTGCGCATGTAAATCATGATGATAAAACCTACTCTTCGGCAAAAATACCCTAGAAACCTTTGTAGCGTCGTTTTTCTCGAAAACGTTGCCTACCTGTGCCCTCGGTTTCCATTATTTCTTACCGCGATTTCTATACGCTGTACACGAAGTACCAAACGTTACCAGTTTCGATTCGTTCGATTCTGTTCCCGTCAACATCTCGATTAACGACATGTATGTAGGGTTGGACCCGCACGAGTTGCGGTTCAACACGTAGATGGAACATTATACGACATGGCCTCGGAGTTATGTTAGAAAACGCTCGCAACAACATGCACCTCGACACATTGAAGCCCCGTCCGGTGCATGCGCTCAACCTTGCCGTTCAAATGTTGATGCTCTGCTTCGCTTATTTGGCGTCTCACACAAGTAATCTTGCAAAATGGGTCGTCGTTTATGTGCTCCTTCCCGCCGTCCATACTAAGTACATGAATTCGGCAATCAACCTCTTCTTGAAGATCACGAGGAAGTGCTCGCGCTTCTCGGTCGCAACCTTTTTTGACAATGAAGATGCGCAAGTGTATTGTAGTATATACAACAAAGCCCACCACATGCCAAATACCGCGTCGGTCTTGCGTCATGGGTCCCTTGGTGTCACTTCCAATCTCACCTATCAGAAATCATTTTGGTCATAGACGCGTTCTCCTCTGCATATTTTTTCGACTTGTTGTTTGAACTCTGCTTTACTTCCACGCAAACAAGACAATTTGGCCGTCTCTAAGCCTTCACTTAGATTCCTGGACCCTTCGCATCACCATTTGCTCAATGATGTCATATGCAAGGTGTACTAGACTCTGATGTAGCAATGTTAGTGAAGTATCTGTTGTTTCATGTGGAAGTCGATCCCGCATACCGCATGTGTAACGGGGTGAATCGTTACATAACAATTTATGAGAAATTGTTAAAAGAATATAACTATAAGAGTTACATTCTCAGAACATTGTCATAAGGACAAATATTCTGCAGCACTCACGAGTAGTTCCTAATTGGTTGAAACAGGCCATTATATCAACCAACGAAGACGCGCCACGACAGACGCACGCAATGAATGGTGAGCAGATAGTTGATGTGCACAGCTGTATTCAGACATAGTTAGATGAGGATAAATAGTGATTAATTAACAAACATTAACTATACTAAATACAGTTCTACTTTTTACTTAAACCAAGTACTCGCTTCTCCTTACCGTCTTCCTCTGCAAGTGCCAGTGTACGTGAAGTTCCGAGGCACCGCCTTATTCTGTCATCAGAAAAAGTAGCTTGTACTGTCACCAGTACAAGCTTCAGGGCGCCCCGTTACAATTAAGACATCATATTCTTACAATATTATCACAACAAGTAATATTGTGATGCAAAAGTAAAACACTGCTCAGTGGTTGTAGTAGAAATTTTTTATCAACCAATAAAGCCGAGCCACGACAGAAGGACGCAACGAGTGGCGAGCAGTAGTTGCAATACATGTTTGTATTTTAGATATAGTTAAATGACAACTAAACATAATTTATTCACGGGAGGTTCACTATACTAAAAACTGTCCTACGTATCCCCTTTTCTCGTGTTGGAACCGTCCTCTTCACGATGCGTGTACGGAAGTTTCGAGGCACCAACTTACTCTGTGTTCAGTGTATGTTGCTTGTACGGTGACAGTACAAGCGATCAGTGCACCATTACACCTGGTGGCACTTCGTAATCCGTCCAACCACGATGCAAATGTTGGATGATGAAGCGGAATGCTTCCGTTTATCATACTATAGATTTAATTGCGTTTGAGTCAAATTGAATGGGATGCCGTCGAGCGATTGAGTTCGACTATATGGCAAGAGGCCGTCAGCGCAATGTTGTCCGCTCTGGGTCCAGACTGACAACTCGCCACCATCGCAACTTTATCTGGAACGAACTTGAGGCTGAACGGGGAAAAAAGCATCCCTGCTTCACCAACAAGGTTTCAACAGACAAATATATTGAGAGAGCAAGACGCTCAACAGTTTGAGCCGTTGATACAGCAGCAGGCTGCTGTCACCGGGCCGACATATAGACGTCGACCCGAATTATTGAATATTGACATCTTCAAGTTTAAAGAAGCTAAATAGACTCTTTGTTGTGATGTTTTGTTAAGCTGAATGACCCATGAAGGCTTGCACATCGTTGATGAGCAAGTGCAAATTGCATTTGCTCAATCAAACTTTGCAGGACGTGCAAAGACTTGGGCGTTAAGCCTTTAGCTACACGACCCGTGTACTAGGGTCATTAAAAGTAATCAAATCCCGGCTCAGTCTAACTACCGAATCGCCAAGCTGAGTTAAAGGCTCGCTTTGAACTCCTTAACTCAAATAACATTAAAAATTCTAATAAATAAGTGCAACATTATCACTTGTAATCAGAATTATATAAGCACGACCAGGCAATCAAATTTTTTGGAAATCATTCATAAAATGTTGTTTTAACCACTCACGCTTTTAGTGAGTTTTTTTTTCTGCATTCATAGGAGGTTTGGTAATTGTTATGCATCTTAATAGTTGGAGCACCTGATATGGCTAGCCCGCGTTTACATACTATTAGTTTTTTGGTTATCATCACCTACATACGTCACCTTACGAGTTCCATTTCAGAAATTCGCTAAATGAACAAACGCTGATGACGCTGTTCATAAAAAGTCTTACGGACGGTCCATTCAAATCCTAACTGTTCTGAATGGAGTTTAATAATCTGTAAGGGACCATACGGGTTGCGGAACAGGAGGACTTCAGCATGAAACAGGCTCACGAAAATTCTAATTCCTATCGTCCGACGAGAGGACAGGAAAATGGAGGTCTAGAACCTATAGACCTCTGTCACGAGGGGAGCGAGAGCTGTCGTGCTAACAACTATAAGAAATTGCAAAAATGCAATGGATGTCAGAAGACAGGGCATTATGCGTACGAATGCAGTGCCCCGAACGCGATACCAAGTGCCGTAGGAAACAACAACCGTCAAGCGGCCAATAAGGGTCCGAGGCGTGGTTTCGATGCTGATCTAAAGCGCAACATCTTAACGGACAATTAGAAAACGGCCAGGGTCAGTAGGTGCGGAGCACCCTACTGATTCAGCAACGTCAAGCAAATTCGCAGGCCTTTTGAAAAAGTTGCATTTAACACTCAGTCACTATGTGCTACTGCATCTGGCAATGAGTTTTCCTCAGGTTTCCCCCATCACCTTGAAAATCGAAGTCAAAAAGGACACATCACTATGAGGCCTAGTCGATAGTAGGATGTCGCACAGCTTTGTGCGACGCCAGTCGCTGGATGACAGCAAGCTCATATATCGAGCGAGAGATTGTTCCAACGAGGATGAAGGTGCGCTTCGCGGCAGGCGCATCCGTAACAGTGATGAAACGTGTAGTAGGCATTATTAAACACTGAAGGGAGTCCGATTTTATGATGACTTCATCATACTGGACTTGGAAGACACATTTAATGTGATTAATGGACTGCCTTGGCCCAGAAGGTACGAGACACAAGTCAGCTGGCATCGACGAAGTGCCAATACGCCTACAGCTTGTCCGTCAGACGGATATCTGCTGAACTTCTTAATGCCTCCAACCAGATGTGGATGTACTACAAGTTAGTGCGATACCTTCACGTGTAGTTTGGTCGTTGGTACAACTGCACAAGATCGCAATGCGGGTAGCCATCACAGTATGGAGCACAATTACGGCGACTGCGTAAAAAAAAAGGGGCTCCGAAGGCCAACCACTTAATGAGTTGATTGGACAGGGACATGGGTGTCCTTATAATGAAAAAAAACAAATTATAAACAACTGGTTGCCAATGATTAGCAATTAGATGATCCCCCATAGACTGAAAATCAAACCTTTGAGAACTTCTTGTGGTAGCGCAAACATTGCTATAAGGTGTCTAGGGAGCATGTCTCGCGCATCTGAAGATCAAATAGCCCGAAAGGATATAATGGAGAAATAAGTCCCCAAGAGACTGTGGAAATAAGTTCCCATACGATAATAGAGACATATAATGCCCTTGTTAAGGACAAATCAAGTACAGGTGCTTATACACTTAATCTGATTGCTCCTCCAAATTTAACCTAACAGATTACGCAATCTTCCACGCTGAAAAATAAGAGATTCTTGCGTGATCTGCATAGTGGCAAAGTCAAGAAGATCTGCGTACTTGTCTCGGAAGATGAGTACATGACCAAATACGGTCGGGAATGGTATTTAACGGGATGAAGCAGCTCTCAGTAGCTCATCAATGGAAGAGAGTTTCCTTGATGAGAAGCCTCGGATTGAGCGTCGTGGGAATCGCTCAAAGAAACCTTTCTACGATGATGTAACGGAATTCAGGGATGTATTCCCTGAAGCGGTGCCGTGAAAGCTACCCTGTGTACAAATGTAATCGTCGCGATATATACCTGAAACTGTTTAAATTACTGTGTTATTAAGCAATGGCCTTTGCCTCATAAACAAGTA